GGCATGAAGTCTCCTCCCCTTGCAACACGCCCATGCTGTCATACACAACGCCCTCCCCTTCCACCTTATCCTCACTTCAGGCAGGGATCTCTCGCCTTCACTTCAGTGACCAGCATGGACCCTCCTCCACCACCCCTGCTCCCACCCCTCTTTCCACACTGCCTGTCTCCCCTCTATAACTCCATCCACGAGTGACCAGCAGGTGACGAGTCACGGCACTCCTTTCAACTCCAACCTTCCCGCCGTTCACCTGGGTGGTTCGAGCACATTCCACCACGAGTTGTCGCGCTGCCCTGTGCTGGCAGAGCCCTCTGTGGTGGCCGGGGACGGGTCAGTGCGCTTCCTGTTCTTCCTCTGCTGCCGCCGCTCGTTTCTCTTGAACATCTGGAGCGAAACTTCCGTGAACCCACCTGCCTCCTGCGTGCCGGACCTAGCCATCAGGTCCGTCACCCACGCCTGCGGCTCATCCCCCTCAAAATGCGCAGGCCCGGGCACAAACAGCCCATTCCGAATCTCCTTCAACAACCTCGCCTCCCGCATGTGGAAAAACGGATGCGCGAGCGCAGCCTTGGCATTAATCCTCCTCTTCCCTTCTTTCCTCAGCATCGCCTCAAGCAACCCCCAGCCATGGCCGTCATTCTCATCCAGTAGCTCAAGGCGCCGCATATCGTCCGCTGTGGCCCGGAGCTCAAACTTTTCGCGCCATGCGGACAGGTTGTAGTCGAGCTTTTTGAATTGGCGTGTGAAGGCGGCGAGACCGGTGTCGGAGCGGAGGGAGGGGAAGAGCATTTGTAGGAAGACGAGCCCAGCGCTGTACATGTCAAAGCGGTCAGGGTGGTTCATCTGGCGGGAAAAGCGGTTAAAGGAGGGGAAAAAGGGTTGGAAGGCAATAAGGGAGAGGTGTTAAGAGGAGCGGGTAAGAATGCGGTACTGTTATTTCGCATCAGGTGGTTTGCTTGACTGGGGAGAAGCTTCATGGCACACAAAGAGAAAGGTAAGAGACGAGACCCTCCGAGGGAAACGGGGGCGTTTAGACATGTCAGATGGTGCTCAGAAGAGGGTTTTCGGGGTTGGTGGGGAGGAGCGGGGAGGGGTTTACCTGCCAGAGGACGGGTGCGAGGGCGGCAGCAACAGGGGCTGGCGGCGCGCTTGGTGTCTGCGTGCTCATAATGTACTCCTCCGGTGCTGCGTAGCTGCATGGGGGGAAACATCACGGAGAACACGGCGGTAGGGAGGATTGGAGAGGGATGAGGAGCGGTACGCTGGGTGGTCACGCTCATGATGTATACTCCCTTTGGGACCGATCGCACCAGTCGCGTTTGGGATTCACCGCTTCAAGTGCAGTGTGGCTAGGGGCGGATAGGGGCTCACCGCGGGTCCAGCAGGTACTGGTCGGGGTCGTAGTTAATCCCCACGCGCAGATCCGCCGCGGCGCCCAGGTCGATAATCTTGAGCGCGCCCTTCGCCTCGCAGTAAATCATGTTTTCGGGCTTCACGTCGCGATGCACGATGCATCGTACGATGCCCTGACCGTGCAGCTTTGAGTCGACTCAAAACACACTCGGGCTTCACGTCGCGATGCACGCATCGTGGTGACTCACCGGGGGTCCAGCAGGTACTGGTCGGGGTCGTAGTTGATCCCCACGCGCAGATCAGCGGCCGCACCCAGGTCGATGATCTTGAGCGCGCCCTTCTCCTCGCAGTAGATCATGTTTTCGGGCTTCACGTCGCGATGCACGATGCCCTGGCTGTGCAGCTTCTCCAGGGATGTCAGAAGGCGCCGCATGATCTCGCGCGCCACGTGGAGCTCCCTCTCCGGGCCACGTGGCTCGTCCGCCGGCGGCGCCTGATTGCCGAAGAGCGTCTTCTCGATCTGCTCATGGCAAGATAAATATAGGATGTCGAAACCGTTTATACGGAGTATATAGAGCACAAGTATTATAACGAACCAGTTGTTTCAAAGGGCCAAAAGTGTGTAAACATCAACGATGGGGTTATTCCGGTGTGTCTCTTAACTCACGTTATACGGGAAGTCGCGGTCCGTTAGAACATCAGCGAACGTCGAGTCGCCTTCGTATCGCCACACCAGCCACACCTCGTCAGACGTGCTGGCAGCCGCGGAAGCCAAAAAGTTCCCCGCGCCCGTCTTCCCCTTGCCCCCCTTCACCATGAATCCGCCCAGAAACTCCGCGCAAACGTCCGGGCACGCGCGGCGCACGCGCTCGTTCATCCAGAGCTCCACGTCACCAAACTCCGTGGCGCGCTTCACGATCACCTTGTACTCCGGATCCTTCGCGAGCGTACCGACGTACACCGATCCGAACCCACCCTCGCCGATCTTCTTCCCGAGAATGAGATCCGATCGCTTGTACATTTTGCGAAAGAAACGGTCGATCTTAGCGAGAACGAACATATCCCAGTAACCCGCCGCGACTCCCGGCGTGGCCCAGAGATACGCGCCGACTTGAAGCAGAAGCGCCGCGCCGGCCGCCGTCAAGTGGTGCTCGTGCGCGAGACTCGAGAGGTAAATCGCGTCGCCGCATTCCATGACGTTACATGGTAACCCGAGTCCTACAGCGAGGGTCATTAACGAGTTGACGTCGTGTGGAGCCGCGTCGCTCACGGACTTGACGGCGGTTACAAACGCGTCGAGCTCTTCGGGACCCAGGCCGGCGCCGCCGGTGAGATCGCATCGCGCGGTGAGAGCACCACCGCGTTTGGCGCCCTGCCTGGCAGAGAGGTGCTGCGCGGCGGAGCGGAGGAGCCGCTGAGTGGCCGGGGACACGAGGAAAGGAGTCAGCTTTACGCATTGCGCGGTGGGGATGAGGCGAGAAGACGCTATCGCTGCTGGTGCTGGCGATATCAAGAGGCGCGCTGATGTTATGGCTGCCATGGTAAGCAGATCCAGATAGTTCAAGCCTTTTAAGTTACGAATAGAAGAGTCGCTTAGTCTAAAGGATGTCGTTTGCAGCAAGGTAGTGCTTTTGTCGACTGAGATCTATAGACTGAATCCGTCAACGGATGTTTTTTCGTGATGCAAATGAGAAGAGCAGTGCGCTTTATGCGGAGAAAGTGATGAGAAGGAGGAGCAACTCGAGTTACGGGTGGATTTGGATTAGCGCTAATGGGAGGCTAAGGAAGGTTGGGGTGCTAAAAGATCAGGCACGGAAACAGCCGAAGCTGGAAGGTAGACCGAACCGCGATTTGTGGGCTGTTAGCTGAGAAGCCGAACCACGACGAGGTGAAGTGGTTGGTAGGGTGATTGGCTTGGTTGGTGGTCTGGATGTTGGGGGGTAGATTTGTTCGATGGCGGTACGCAGTTGATCAGGTTGACCGTGGATGGCACGCGGTGACGAGGCCATCGGCTATGTCGTGCTGGCATGGGTCTATTCCACCTAGACGCGGTACGGGTGAGGTGACCGCACCAATTGTCCAAGCCTCGTATGCAAGCTTGGACCCCGGCGGGAAACTGGTGCAGCCGTTGGGGTGACCGGGCTACCCCGAACATGATCCTTCCGAGCGTTCTGTTTTAGCTGTGCGAGCCGCATCCAACAAACAAAGGCGAAAGTGACAAGGAAACGGGAAAAGCGCGTGCTCTGGCAGTTTGCACAGGTGAGTCCAATCAGCGGAGTTCATTCTAGTGCGTCGGATTGGTTAATGATTCTCAGCCACGCTTGAGGATTCGGAACAGTTGCGTGGAAAGTCGTCGAGTGAAGTGTGGTTGCTTGCCGTGCTGAGCTGTTCGCTCCACGCAGCTGGTTGCTGGAACTGCTCAATTTTCAAACACGAAAGAAAATTCGAAATATCCGGGGGAAGAGGATCTTGCGGCTGACATCAAGCGTGCGCTTTTTGAGATCTGACCACGTCATTCAAGCTAATTTCTGTGGGGGACCAGCAAAGACGATGGCCTGAGGTTGCACCGTGCTGGCGGAGACGGCGCGAACTTTTTTCTGACTTCTGCGTCGCTGGAACATGCGCTGGAATCGTGTGTGGAGGAAACAGCCCACCTGGATGCCGTTGCTGTAAAATGCGAGGTCATATCGGTGGCCACTCAGACAAGTGGAAAAGGAATTGATCCAACTTAATGATACAGTATCTCCAGAGCCACGAATTTCACCGCCTCAATTCAACAACCAATGGTGTGGTGAGTCGTGTCCGTACGGAGTCGGCCGAAGAAAGCAGTGTTTTGGTACAGTAATTTGCGCACAAGAATATCAAACGTGTAACTTCTATTTCCATTCAAGCTTTCAAACACTGACATTCAGAGTTTCGGGTTTATGTAGTGTAACATATTATAAGGAAGAGTTTGCCATTATGTATTCCAGAGCCCCAACAACGATCCCATAACTCTATTACAAAGAAAATAACCAGCGTGACCACACTTGCTGCTCCCTTGGTGACTAAATCCCTCCTTTGTGAAGCTGCTTGCTTTGTCATGCATGAGACTCCAGCTGAATCCAGTATAATCTAAGTCGCTAAAGGCATGCATGCCACATGCTGCATGCCAAACAATTCATTTTTGCCTGACTTCTGCGTTCACATTTACGTGAGTGTGGTGTAGAGCTCGTCAATTGCCGCTTGATACTTGGCCTGGAAAGGACAGGAGGGAGCAGATAGAGAAACCCCCCAACATTTTTAAACACATAGACACGTTAACTCGCATGCACAGACAGAAGCAGATGGAGGGGGAGGCTGGGTGTGTAAGAAACAGAAAGGCTGCTCAAGAAAGAATAGTGAACCACGAGGGCAAGCAAGAATTCTTGCGTGGGATAAACACATCTGGACTGCAACGGTGGCACAACAACACCTTCAGCTTGCAACGAGTGGCAGCAGAGCAGCACCCTCCTTAAGCTTTGGGCACGTGAGCTTGAAGGAGAGAGTCATGAGGTCGTTCTCAGTGGAGAACACTTATTCTTCCACAGCATTGTGCCTCAGTGCCCTGGGTAAACCTGTGCCCAACTCACATTCACCTTGAGGCTGAGAGGCTGAGCATAAGGGGTCTACATCTCAGCAGCACCCACCTTGAGCTTGGGGCGCTTGAGGTTGAAGGGAGGAGTTATGAGGTCGTTCTCAGTGGAGAAGGCCACCTTTGAGCCATGCATCCCCTTGACCCAGCAGCTCCGCGTCTCAAAGGGCAGCACTAACCTCAGTGCCCAACTCGCACCCACCTTGAGCTTGGGGCGCTTGAGCTTGAAGGAGGGAGTCATGAGGTCGTTGTCCGTGGTGAAGGACTCTGCCCCCAAAGCCCTGCTTACCCTCCTCTGAGCCACACCCACCTTTGAGCCTGGGCTTGCAGCAAGAGGTTCACATTACAGCAGCACCCACCTTGAGCTTGGGGCGCTTGAGCTTGAAGGAGGGCGTCATGAGGTCGTTGTCCGTGGTGAAGGCCTCGGCCTCCAGGGTCACGCCCCGCACCACCTCAAAGCCCTTCATGCTCGTTGCCTTGGCGCGCTTCACCAGCTCATCCAGGACATACTCCTTTGCTCCTGGGAGGGCGCAGCTGTGGAATAAAAAAAGGATGGTGCAGGGGGGGGGGGGGGGGGGGGGGGGGCGTGGTGCCACGTTCTCAAGCCATGCATTTCACCACCTCAAAGTAACCCCTTCATGCTCGTTGCCTTGGCGCGCTTCACCAGCTCATCCAGGACATACTCCCTCGCTCCTGGGAGGGCGCAGCTGTGGACAGGAAGAGGAGGGAGCACAGGGGTGGGAGGGGATAGGGAGGGTGGTGTTGAATTCCAAACGAATGCCTCTCACCAGCTCACATGGGCGGGCATACAGGCATGAAGGGCTTGGGGGCATGAGGAACAACATGCACCTATGAAGGGGATGGCTATGAAGAACATGCCTCTCACCACAGTGGTGCCATTGCCACTCACAGTGGTGCCATCGCCACTCACAGTGGTGCCATTGCCACTCACAGTGGTGCCATTGCCACTCACAGTGGTGCCATTGCCACTCACAGTGGTGCCAGACGTGTACATGAGCACAGCCAGGTCTTCAGGCTTGGGGGGGGTGTGCTCCTGGGGGTTCTGCGCGCCCCACTCCTCCACCTGCGAGAACGGAATCAGCTTCACGCCCGCATCCTCTGCTGCCTGCCTGTCCGCGTCGCTGGGTGCCTGCCCGCCCCCCTGCATGTATATCACTGTCTTCACTGCCGGGGCTGATGGCAGCGCCTTGTAGAGAGATGAGAGGGTCTGCGTAGGGGGAACAGTAGGGGCAGGAGAAGAATGCGAGTGAGTGGACGAGTTGACTGCACGCCCGCATCCTCTGCTGCCTGCCTGTCCGCGTCACTGGGTGCCTGCCCGCCCCCCTGCATGTATATCACCGTCTTCACTGCCGGGGCTGATGGCAGCGCCTTGAAGAGAGATGAGAGGGTCTGGGGGAAGGGAGCAATAGGGGCAGGAGCAGGAGAGGAATGGAAATGGGAGGAGGGGGAAGAACGAGGGTGAGACAGTTGAGTGCACGCCTGCTTCCTCTGCTGCCTGCCTGACCGCGTCGCTGGGTGACTGCCCGCCCCCCTGCATGTATATCACTGTCTTACACGCCGGGCTTGATGGCAGGATCTTGAAGAGTAATGAGAGGGTCTGTGGGAAAAGAGCGATAGGAGCAGGAGAGCGGTGGGCATGAGGGGAGGAGAAAGGAGAGATTGAATAGAGAGGTGAGGGTGGGGAGGAAGGGAGAGGGGAAAATGAGAGTGGAGAAAGGGAGGTGAGGAAAGAGAGGGGAGAGAGGAGGCAGTTGGAAGGGGAGAAGCATGGCTTAGGATGGCGATTACATCCACCCCCACACAACCACCTAGCCAACCACACGCACTCACACAGCACACACATTCCCACTCGCACCTCCATGCTGCACATCACCTCTCACCACCGCTCACCTCCGCTCACCACCGCTCACCACCGCTCACCTCCACGCTGCACACCACAGCCACCATCTCGGAGTGATTCACCACGTGGTTCACCGCCTCCTGCCCCAGTGTGGCGTAACTGGGAGGGGTGCAGAGGGGTGCAGAGGTGGGGAGGGAAGTGTGGAGGGATGCAGAGGTTTGGAGGGATGCAGAGGGCGTAAATAGAAGAGCACATACTCACATCGCCCTTTCGCCATACTTACATCAGCCCTTCACCATACTCACATCAGCCCTTCACCATACTCACAGTGACACGTTGACAAGTCCGTAGCAGTACCCTCCCAGCTCCGCCAGCACCCACTCCGCGTTGTTCACGCTATAGATGCCGAACCTGTCGCCGGGCTTCAGCCCCAGGTACACCAGCCCCGCACCAAAGTCGGAGGCTCGGCGTGCCGTGAGCTCGTAGCTCTCCCAGGAGAATCCATCACCGGTTCGAGTGCCCAGGCAGGGGTTCTGTTGTGGGGAGGGGAGATAATGGAACAGGTGGGAAATGGGAGGATGGGATGAAGAGGAATGGGAAATGAAAGGGGGAAGAAGAGGTCTCAGCTGGTATGTGGCATCATGTGGCATGACACAGCATGGCATGGCATGGCATGACATATGATGGGCGGAATCATTTGGACTCAGCAGGGTGACACAGCGCTCACATCAGCAAAGGGCTGAACAAAATGGTATGGCACGGCAAGGCCCGGCACTCACATCTGCGAACCTCTGGCGAGCAAAGGTGAAGAAGTTGTGATAGCACGTGGAGGCCTCCTCGTAGGACACTACCATCTGACACATGCACGTGGCGATGCACGACCAGCATACGCACATGCACATGCACATGTACAATCACATGCACACAGATCAACAAGTGAGGAATGGGTGAGGTAGTGCGCGAAACAGTGTAAAATGACAATGCGTAACAACGCATGGCATGGCATGGCATAGCTTAGCATGGCATAGCACCATAACGAAGAGGGATATGGCACGGGGTGACAACATGGTTGAGTTGCGACAGCAGTGGTGACGTCATCCTTAGTTGTTATGCATACCATGGCATCGTGATGCATTCATGCATGCCGCCATAGAACCAAAGAAACGCTTGGGCACACCAGGCTCATCATGGATGCAACGCATGTGATCATCACTGCACCATGTATCCTCAGTCATGCACATTGAATGAAGCCATTTTTCTTGGATTAATAGACTATAAATTGTGAAGAAATGCCGGCCGTGCCTGATCGTGTCCTGTCAACAGCGGCAGAGACGTTCCCACTCACAAGCTCATTTCCAGGAAGGTTCTTCCTGCGCCAGACGGCCTCCTCCCCTGGCAGGAGCATCTGCAAGGAAGCGCGCATGTGGATAGTTGCATGTGAAGGACAGTATGAGCATGCATGTGGGCAGCACGTGAACAATTGCATGAGCATGCATGTGGGCAGCACGTGAACAATTGCATGAGCATGCATGTGGGCAGCACGTGAACAAGTGCATCAGCATGCATGTGAACTGCACGTGATGAAGCGCATGAGCATTGCATGTAATCTGCACATGAAGCATCGCGTGATCATTGCGGTGGACAGCATGTGAAGGATTGCATGAGCATGCACGTGGACTGCGCGTGATGTGAAGGATTGTATGGAACGTTGCAGGATTGTATAGAACGACCTTCTTTTCGGCCACGCCTTTGACGTTCCAGAAACACTCTTCCTTTAGGAGGTTCAGCTCACCGATTGCTCCTTGAGTCGGTCATTTCAGCTCACCGTCGGTTCATTTGAGCTCACCGATTGCTCCTTGAGTCGGTCATTTCAGCTCACCGTCGGTTCATTTGAGCTCACCGATTGCTCCTTGAGTCGGTTCAGCTTGGCGCGGCGCACGACGACGTTGTGAAGCCCCAACACCGCTGCGACCACCGCTCCGATCAGCGTCTCCTTGGGATCCTTGAAACGAATCACGCTCTGGACCTTCGAGAGCGGACACGTGGAGAGCGCCTGTTGGCCGGGAGAGATAGGGGTGAGGGAAAAAGGCTTAAAGGAGACTAGAGCGTGAGAAGGTACTATGTTAGTACGTCTCGAGCTTAAAGCCGCGATTAGGGTAATTATTCAGTTGCTTCCAGGTGACGTGAAACAAATGATTGATAATCGTGAAATGTTCCAGTTAGCTGGCTGATACAGCTTCCAAGGTTTGGTATCGGATGTCGGAAGTGGCTGGTGGAAACTAAACAGACTTTTCGCTTGTGAGTGGATCTGTGCTGTTACTACATGTAATTATAGCACAATCACATACGAGGAGAGAAAGGATTATGTCGGAATTAACGACAGCCTCGCCATTGAAAACGAAAAGCTCCGTCGCACGAAGCAGAGAAGGGAGTGCCAATTTCCGCGTGATCGCTGCCCATGCTGCAATTCCCGCCACCTTTCCCACGGATATACCGCTTTCTTTTTCCGCCATGGAAGCAAATTATGCTCCACAACCAGCAAGTGCAGCCAGGAAGAGTGAGCAGCGCCTACTAGCAAAACAGTCTTCGTCGATCAGCTAGCACTCACTGCTGATCTGAAGCAATCGGAAAATGGATTTACAATTCTACAGGAATAGCACTTGAAATGCATGCCCCTGGGACAGAACAGAACTGGGGGAGAGCATGGATTCCGTTCCGATTCCTTGAGAATGTCGCGCGAATCTCGTCTGATCCAAAAGAAGCGGCTACGATGCAATTATGCTGGTCGCTGAACAGCAACGATTGGCCACGGTTGCGAAGCATCGTCATTTTCGAGGGGGATGCTTTGGCAGACACATCTGATCGCCGTGTGGGGTGTAGTTGCCGACGTGTTAGCCTGCTGACGAGGCCATCCCATATTTGTGGAAGTCAAGAAGTAACAAAGGTGACGGAACAGCTCAGAACCAACAATGTTCGCCTGGTTCGCGTTCTACCGTGCCTCGATTCGCCCACTGCTCCTGTCGCGAACACAAATTAAATTATGGTATACAAATGGAATAAGGACCTATATAATGAAGCTAACGGCAACTCACTGAACCGTAGTGTGTTGAGCTTTTCGTGACGCCCTATCCCATCCCCAAAACGTCGTGAACCACCGCCATTCCCGCCTCATTCCAAAGCAAACTATTTTCATCTTGCAACGTCTGCGACACTTCCAATCCCAGCCTCAGCGTGTCTTCCGCTGCGCTGTTTCCGACCGTCACGCGCCATCTGCTCACTGATCAGTCATTCTTATTGATGCAACGATCCTTTTCCTGGATCAGAACAGCCGGTGCTACCAACGCGCTTGTCGTGAAGCCGTTCTTTTATATCATCCCAACCATCGATCGCCCTAAATGTCTCAGCCTCGCCGCAGGAAGCGGCGGTGCATACGGAGGATCGAAGGGAGCGAACGTTTGGCGCGCGGGGAAGCGAATCACAGCGGTGCGTAGCACCGTGAACAACGGCACCGAAAGCGGCGCATCCAGTAGCAGCAATGCAGGAAATTCCGAACCGCTGTCACAGCTTCCCGATTGGTCGGGGATCACCTACACGCGGCTTCAGCTACGTCCAGAGCCACAGTTACCGCCACGTGTCGAGCACCTATTGGTGGAACGAGAAGGCAGGGTTGTGGATGTGGTGGCTGAATCATTGGAGCTTCCGAGGGAGTAAGTCGGCACGCTGAGCATGAATCATGAAGCATGAAGCAGCAAAACCACGTTGCGCATGAATCATGAAGCATGAAGCAGCAAAACCACATTGAGCATGAGTCATGAAGCATGAAGCTTGAAGCAGCAAAACCACGATGAGCATAGCCGACATTTGAGCATTAATTCACTCTGTTTCCTTTGTTGCTTTGACCCTATCTTTAATTTTCTATGCTGAACTCCATGTGCTTTGCCTCCCATCCAATCATGCAGATACGTCACAGATTTGATACGATTTGGTGGGATCTACCACGCCCAGGTGCCACCTCCCCCACCTCCGAACCTCCCTCCAGAGGCCCTTCAAGCCTACCTTGAATTTATTGCCCAGCACACCACTGACCCCTCCTCCTCGCCCTCCTCTCCCACCTCCGCTTCCTCCTCCTCTTCCTCCTCCTCGCGTCAACCAAAGGTCACATTGGCAGAGTTGCAGAAGGTTAGAAGGGTGGAGGTGGGGGGAGTGCGGGGAAGAGGCGTTGGGCAGAAGGAGAAGCGGCAACGGCAGAGGTCCCGAGACAAGGGGGGGAAGAAGGGCAAGGGGAGTGGGCGAGAAATGAGGGGCAAAACGGACGGGAGGAATGGTAGAGGCGAGGAGAAATGTCAGCAGCAGGAGGGAGGGGAGGAGGGGAAGGAGGGGGAGGAGGAGTATGGAGTGAGAGTGAAGGCAGGCAGTTACCTCCGAGTTCACGTGCATCCTAAGCGATTCCCCATGTGAGTGAAGCACGCACTGCGTAAAAGTTTAAACGTGCCATGAGAATGTGAGCCAACACAGATACAATCTCCCAGAGCTTGTGGATAGTATCTAATCTAATGCTCTTCTCTGGTTTCATCAGATGTTTTCTGCGCTGAGGTGGCTACCTATCCGCACGACCCTAAATTCTTCCTTGGATGGATGCAGGTGCTACAGCTTTGACTGGCGAAAGTCGGTGATTGTTAACGAGGATGACTATGTGGTGATCGATAAGCCATACAACGTTCCGGTAAGCGGCTCCCTCACCCAGGGCCCTGTCACACCCTCTGTTCGCTTCTACCCAGTATTTCCCACCCAGTCCTTTGCTCACAACAGCACCCTCCACTCACTCAATCTTTTCGCCAAGCACCCACATTCCAGTCAATGGCATCATGTTTCAGACCCCAAGTGTGCGTTCACTTATCCAGGCCGTGTGATTATTTTCCAGCCCTCAACTGTGCCGTGCCTCCTGATGCACTGCCCTGCTGTTTGGGCACTGCACTGCAGGTGGGCGGCACAGTGGACAATCTCTTGGAGTGTTGCGCATTCTTTGGAGGGCAAGCCGTGGAGCTCGATCGCCCGCTGCAGCTCACCCACCAGCTCGACCTCTGCACGCAGGGCTGGTGGGTGGGTGGGTGGGTGGGTGGGTCGAGGAGCCGGGGTTGGTTGGACAGATGCCGCTGGGAATGTGTGCGGCATTTTTGTTTAGTAGTTCACACACCAGCCCGTGTTAGCCTGTGGTTCAGAGTTTCAGTCGGCGATGAGCACTCATGCCTTGTATAACTCCTATGTGACTATGTTTTAATTTGTCCGTGCTCCCTGCAGTGTGGTGATGGCCAAGAACCGCCAGTTCGCCAGCCATTTCAACCAGTTGCTTCAGGTCCGTCCGCGCGTGACCCTGTAGCCTCGCCCACACACCATCACCACCACCGCCACCACCAACGCCGCCGCCACCACCAATGCCGCCGCCACTGTGCTCAATGCGGTCCCATCCCATCCTGCAATCTTGATGCTGCAGCATTCCATGACTCCTCTTGTTCCTGCATCATCTCACCTTGCGCCTGTAGCCTTCCCCATGAACCCTCTTCTTGAAGGCTCTTTTTTCTCTACTTTCCATTCTCGTCTCTTCTCTCCTCTTGCATCCCTCGGCTCGGCCCCCCCTCCCTCCCCCCCCCCCCCCCCTTCCTTCCAGGGTCGCAAGGTCCGCAAGCTTTACAAGGCCCTAACCGCATCTGCTCCTGCTCCGGGCAGACACATACATTTCATGCTGCCCGATCCATACTCCCCGAAGATTTTAACCCGAGAAGCCATGCCAGGCTGGCAGCGCTGCGAGCTCGTGATTCGCCGAGTGGAGGAGGTGCCGTGGCCTGCTGATTCTGCGCTGGCTTCTGCTGACGTGGACTGCTCTTATTGGCCAGCTGCTGACGTGGCATACGAGTGCCTAGTGGAGCTGATAACAGGGAGAACGCACCAGGTACGGCGCTCAGCTGATGTGGATTCGGGTGGTAGGTGATGGGATAATATGGTATCGCATGTGCGTGATGTGTCATCGTAGGTGAGAGGATGCGCTCGCTGATGTTGCAGATTCAGCTCAAGGCCGTGACAGAGCCTTCAATTCTGCATCTTTCCCTCACCCTCCAATTCCCTGTCTTCCCTACTCGGCCATCCCAGCTTCGAGCACAGTTTGCAGCGCTGGGCGCGCCCCTCCTCGGTGACACCATGTACGGCCTGGCCCAAGCCCAGCAGGCTGCACCTATGGTCCAAGGGAGAGGATGCGCTGTTGTTCAATTTGTACATATTTCCCTCTTCTCCCTGTCCTCCCATCCCAGCTTCGAGCGCAGTTTGCGGCGCTGGGCGCGCCCCTCCTCGGTGACACCATGTACGGCCCCTCCCGAGCCCAGCAGGCTACTCTTATGATCCAGGGGAGAGGATGCGCTGATGTTGCAGCTTCAGCTTCAGCTCCTGACCGTACCCCAACTTGTGCATCTTTCCCATTCTCCCCTATTCCATGTTCTCCCTTCTCCCATTTCTCCCTGTCCTCCCATCCCAGCTTCGAGCACAGTTTGCAGCGCTGGGCGCGCCCCTCCTCGGTGACACCATGTACGGCCCCGCCCAAGCCCAGCAGGCCGCACCTATGGTTCTAAAAGCAACCATACCACCCAACCGAGGTTCAGTTGATGTGAGAGGGAATGGAGTGGGGATTTCGGGCCAGCAAGAGAGGAGAAGGGAATTTGTGGATGCGGATGTGCTGTCCCAGGCGAAGCACCTGTTTGGGACAGCACCGGAAGCGGCGATTGGCTTGCAGGCGTTTTCTGTGAGATGGGAGGAGCAGGTGGAAGAAAGCAAGGGGCGAGTGAGAACTGTTTACAAGCAGTACGAGGCTGGCAGTCCGTGGTGGAGAGAGGGTTGATTTTTTGTCTGTGTGATTGCGGAAAGGATTCGGCATTGCAGCATTATAGTAGGGACTGGGTAGTGCAGCAGTCATTCTTCTTTCCGATTTTCTCATTTATTATCGCCTATGTGTTCATCCCTCTCTTGTTTCAGAGCTGGGGCTGTTCTTTCTCTTGTCCGCATTGTCCAGCGTTCGTTCGTTCGTTCATTCGTTCTTCATCTTTCTTCTGATTCCTTTCCGCTCTGATGTTACGCCACGCTCAGCCAGCTGGCACGATGCTTAGCAAGAGTTAGTCCAGGAAAGCTGGGGTCCACATGAAGCATTTATGTACAAGGGAGGCAGGTGCAAGGGACAAGAAACAGCAGATAAGTCTGTCAGTGTCACCACCATGCAGCAACTATACTCCATTCTCACTCCTTCTAGCCCTCCCTCCCACCCGCTCTCCTCCTTCCTGGCCATGATGGTGCCCTATGCCCCAGCTCCCCCCTCTACTCCATGCTTCACCGACCTCTCACCCCCTTGGCCCTTCCTCCCTCGCCCTTTACTCCATGCTCCAACTCTCCGACGTTCCATCCAACCCTTACCCCCCTAGCCCTTCTTCTCTCAGCCCCGCTACTCCATCCTGGCCACAAGGGTGCCCTGTGCCCCGACGCGCACGTGCAGGAAGATAGGCATGTTGGTGGACATGCGGGTCACGAGGGCAGACGCCAGCGCTGCCGACACTCGAGTCTGCCCGACCATGGCGTAGGTGCCACCACTGGTACCCACCCACGCACCGCTCAGCACCGCAATCGGGGAGAGAGAGACTGCAACCGAGGCTCCCATGTTGCCCACCGAGCCTACCACCGAGCCTGCCATGTTCCCCGCCGAGCCAACGAGGCTCCCCACAGCCCCGCCCACGCCGGAGATGAGGCCGGAGACCGAGCCTCCAAGGTTCGCCGAGGCTCTGAGGTTGGCGTTGATGCCGCCCGAGCCTGCGTTGACGGCAGCACCGGCTCCGGCTGAGGTGTTGAGGAGAGGGGAGGAGGCTCCAAGGGAGGCAGAGCCGGAGAGAGAGCCATTGGGGAGAGACACGCCCACTCCTGCTCCCACGCCGGCTGACGTGTTGAGGAGACTGGAGGAGGCAGTGAGGCCTCCTGCTGCTGAGGCAGAGCCGGTGGGAAGGGAAGCGCCAATGCTGGCGCCAACACCAGCAGACGTGTTGAGCAGCCCCGTGGACGCAGCAACGCCGCCCGTTGCACCGACAGTGCCGTTGGGAAGGGAGACCCCGGCCGTGGCTCCTACCCCGGCGGATGTGTTGAGGAGGCCGGTGGAGGCAGCGAGAGAACCGGATCCTGAGAGAGTGCCGTTGGGAAGGGAGACGCCAACGGTGGTGCCAACACCAGCGGATGTGTTGAGGAGGGCGGTGGAAGCAGAGAGATCACCCGCTGCAGCGACAGAGCCGTTGGGGAGAGAGACGACGGCACCAGCGCCCACCCCTGCAGATGTGTTGAGCAGCGCGGTAGACGCCGAGACACCTCCTGCTGTGTTCACCATTCCGTTGGGAAGAGACGCTCCAATGGTAGCGCCAACACCAGCAGATGTGCCCATCAGGCTGGTAGAAGCCGAGACACCTCCTGCCGCATCCACCGTTCCGTTGGGAAGAGACGCCCCCACTGTGGCACCAACACCCGCGGAGGTGTTAAGAAGGCTGGCTGAGGCTCCAGCAGCGGCGCCCGCGGTGGCGTTGAGGGGATTGGCTGTGAGAGAGGAGCCGAGCTGAGCCGAGAGAGCCGGGTCGAGGGCGAGAGAGGCGGCGGTGGCAGTGGAGGTGGTGGAGGAGGAGGAGGGGCAGGGGTTGGCGGTGAGGAGGTGGGGCTTAGAGGAGGGGTGGGTGCCGGCCTGGGTGGTGAGCTTGTAGGTGAGGAAGAGAGCAAGTCCCCTGTGGCGCGCATAACGGAGAGAGAGGGGATGGGGAAAGGGTGAGGGAAGGACGATGGACTGAGTTGAGAATATGCATGTGTTCAAGGCACTGCCAGTGGCGCCATCACAGCCTTATCCGAATATTTTAGTGCCCTGCGAGGTCTTATGATTCTCCAGGAGCCTAAGATTTTATAAGTAGTGCTCTGGGATTTGGCGGAGATTCCTGTGCGGCTCGCGAGTGCCTCTTCACCTCACCTTCTCACGAGCTCCAGCTGGGCTGAGCCATCCGTCTCGCCCGAGCCACACATCACCAGAGGGCCGCTCACCGATGCTGCACGCAGGGAATGTGTATGTGAAGTTGTTGGTGGTGTGGAGGTATGTTCGGTGAGAGACACGGTAATGTTTCGTTGAACAACATAAAATTGTTGCGTAAAAAACAGCGCCGCAAAGAATGCGGCATATTCCAGGAGAGAGCATGTTTGTGAAAGTTAGGACAAACGGTTCCCAAAAAACTGGTTTGCTCACACAGAACTTGAGTTCGAATCCCCAGCCTTATGGCAGACGCGGGCGGAGTAATCAACGCTGCATAGAAGTGAAAAGGCACAAACGCAGAAGAGAAGCAACACATGAGCACAGTTCAGTTCGGGGAAAAATCTAGGGACCAAATTTGTTGAGCACACATCAAAATGGCGGGCGCATGCATGCCAAACAAGAGCAAGAATATGCTTCTTACCTGAGAGAAGGAGAGCCAGAACCACGGCAGCCTGAACCCGGACGGTGGAAACAGCCATAGTTGAACTTGTGTTGCGGATAACTCGTAGCTTCCAATCGAGAGTGCTTTGGGACTAGTAGTTCGGATTGGATTGATTTGGTGGGAGAGAGAGAGAGACTTCGCGATGTCTGCGGTATGGAATGTTGAAATTTATGCTGCCTGGTTCTGGAAATTTCAACATCGAGCCGCGGCAATGGATGGCGGTGCGGTCGGCTTGGGCTGGCCGAAGGAGGGACACGTGTCGATGAAATGAGACGTAGTAGGGCAGCTCGCGAAAGCTCGCTCTTGTCATTGCGAAATGACGACACTGCTTCTGCTGTTTCGTCATTTCGTTCTTCTGGGGAATTCACGCCTGCGCTTTTGTCGGAGGGGCGGCTAAAGAGTGACGGAGCGGGGGCCATTAGGCTGCCTGTCGGTTCGTCGGGATTCGCCTTGTAACAACCTTGTCCCACAAAGATTTTGCAAGAAACTCGACAAAAACCACCGCATTATGGCGAATCAAACGAGTTCACGATACAACTGGATCGAATTGACTTCACACAATAAAAATGTCACTTTCCACCATGTTTGCTTGCCACTGGCAGCTGTAATTTTCAACTTTTTTGTTTTGAGGCTTCCCGTGTACTCTATCGTTCCTCCAAATTGCAGCTCCAATCTCATAATCATCCCACACATTATCTGACACTCCGTCTACCTTGTCTGACGCCGATTGAGCCACAATAATATACTTGTACTTCTGAGCTACACATAAGAATGCTATTCTTCCGCTCAGAGCACAATTCAAGAATGGATTAAAAGAGAGCCGCAGCCACCACTGTTCTTAAATTTGCATTCTGAGCTGATAGTGCATGTGCAGCCTTGCCAGAAGGGCTTGCGAAAATGTAAAACAGCATCAGTAAAGGAACCCCAAAGAAGCCACACCGAAGACCCCTATATTTCAATTTAGAGCAGAAGGGCAATGACGGAGCAGAGCAGGGCCACAGCCGTCACAGCACTGGCACTGACACTGTTGAATGACGATGCTTGTGCTGCCTTGCCAGGGGCGGTAGGGGGTGAAGCAGCAGCGGCAGGAGGAGGGAGGGCAGCAGCAGGTGCAGGTGTTGCGGGGGAGGAGAGCAGTGCAGAGACGGTGTCCGAGGGAATGTCTGCCAGAGATGCCTGAGTCCTGCCAAGGGTTGAGGGAAAGGGGTGGTGCGCAGGGGAGGGGAGAGAGGGGGGAGGAGGAAGGGGGGACAACAAGGGGTGGGTGCGTGACAAGGTGGAGCAGCAGGGAGTGGGGGCAGGCCGGTTTGCAATGCTGCTGAGTGTGAGGGGCGTGTGGAGGTAAATGTGATCCTGCAGGGCTGGTAGGTGGGGATGAAGTGTGAGTGCGTGTTGAGACGGTGTGGCAGTGTAGGGTTGTGGTGTGGTGCGGTGTGGTGTGGTGTGGTGTGGTATGGTGTGGTGTGGTGTGGTGTGGTGCGGTGTGGTGTGGTGTGGTCTGGTGTGGTGTGGTGTGGTGTGGTGTGGTCTGGTGTGCCAAATGTATCGTTCTCGTATGATGCACACATGTCGTAACACATATCCATCTCTGGTTGGGAGGGACAAGGGGGCGGAGTAGTGGCGGATGGGAAAGGTGGGAGGGTGGAAGCACAACGTGGGGCTGTTGGGGTCCGTGCCAAATGTGTCGTTCTCGTATGATGCACACATGTCGTAACACATATCCATCTCTGGTGGGGGAGTGGTGCGGGAGGGAAAGAGAGGAGGTGTCAGTAGGGCAGTTGAGGTCCATGCCGAGAGTCTCGTTCTCATATGTCGCAGCACATGTCAATCCCTGGTGGGGGAGGAAAAGAGGAAAAGGGACGCGACGAACATTAGTAGAGCTGTATTTTTGTGCGATGCAAATATGCCGTCGCATGCGTTGAGATAGTCAATGCACATCTCGGCCTCTGTGGATACCTCTAGCAGAGAGGCGATGGGTCCCCACAGAGACGATGGGTCCCTTAACAAAGTGCATGGGGAGAAGAAGCATTACCTTGGCCCTGACGTGCCGGGTAGTACACGAGGTAGTCAATGCACATCTCGTCCTCCGTGGATGGCCCTCCCAGCGTCACCTGCGTGAAGCAAGGGGTGGAGAGGGGCAGAGATGGGCAGAGATGGGTAGAGATGGGCAGAGATGGGCAGAGATGGGCAGAGATGGGCAGAGATGGGCGGAGATGGGCAGAAATTGGTGGAGACAGGCGGAGATGGGTTGAGATGGGCGAAGAGGGACAGTGGGTGGAGGAGTCCACTGTAAAAGGGGGGCTTGTCACCACACAGCGAAGCAGACACTGATAAGTGAGTTACTTTTGAGTTGGCTCAAAAGTCACCTCGCTGAAAGGGGGGATAGTTTTGAGGCGGCTCAAAACTGGGCTTGTCACAATACAGCGAAGCAGACACTGATAAGTGAGCGACTTTTGAGTTGGCTCAAAGACACTGTGAGAGGCGAGGCAAGTATGTTGAAGTGGGGGAGGAGTCCCAGCCACAGGTGGCATTGACATGCAGTAACGTTGGAGGGTATCCAGTTGCTAAGAGGCACGTATGTTGGTGGGAATGGGGCGCGGCACGTACGTTGGTGCGAGCAGTGGAGTCCCAGACACACGAGGTGCGCAGCTCGTCCCCTGGCAGCAGCTCAAACTCCGGCGTGGTGGGGATGGACTGCTGCGATGCAAAGTCGCTGCGATGGTGTGAGAGGAGGAGGGCGGGGAAGAGTGGAAATAGGGAGGGAGGGAGGGAGGGAGGGCTTTAGTCAGCTCGTCCCCTGGCAGCAGCTCAAACTCCAGTGGGGTGGGGATGGTCTGCTGCAATGCAAAGTCGCTGTTGCGGTGTGATGGGGGGTGGGGAAGAGTAGAAAGAGGGAGGGAGGGAGGGAGGGGTGGAAGGCTCTTGTGAGCTCGTCCCCTGGCAGCAGGTCGAACTCTGGTGTGGTGGGACGTGTGGTGTGCTCCGGGTTGCAGTGACTGGACTGAAAAGGATTCGTTACAGCAGGCAAACGGGGGATGACGGTTGGGTGAGGAGTGGCGAAGGGTGTTAAAAGGGTCGGATGGGACTCACTAGTAGTCCTGGTAGTTTCTGAGAATTCTCAATAACCAACTTGTCTCGAAAGGGTTTCTTCGAAGGGGACTCACTAATAGTCCTGGCGGTTGATAGTTGCGACCTTGCTGCCCCGCCTGAACACATCCGTGTACAACTACATTGGGGGAGGGTGGATGGGGAAATGGGCAGCATGGGCAATTGGGCAGCATGGGGGAATAGGCAGCATGGGGAAATGGGCAGCATGGGGAAATGGGTAGCATGGGGAAATGGGCAGCATGGGGAAATGGACAGCATGGGGAAATGGACACAACAGAGGCGAGTTTGTTAAGCGATTTCCATAGACGCCACGCCACAAAACGCCATGCCACATCCCCTCTCCACCTGACCCCTTAACAGTCCTCTTATGTCTCACCTGTCGTGTCAGCATGTGCATGTACAACACAGGGCCACATGCAACACAGGGCCACATGCGCAATGATCCTCCCCACATGCACTCTCACGGCCTTACCTGCTGCCCCACCACACTCTCACGGCCTTACCTGCTGCCCCACCACACTCTCACGGCCTTACCTGCTGCCCCACCACACTCTCACGGCTTTACCTGCTGCCCCACCACACTCTCACGGCCTTACCTGCTGCCCCACCACACTCTCACGGCCTTACCTGCTGCCCCACCACACTCTCACGGCCTCACCTGTCGCCCCAGCGTGTGAAGGTGCAGCACAGACCCAATGATCTTCACACTCTCATTCCCGAACACCTTGGCAGTGCACTCGCCCGGGCACGTGCTGACCACCGTCCAGTGCACCTGACCTCTGTAACAGTCTTCTCGCGGCCTTACCTGCCTCCCAAGAGTGTGAAGGTGCAGCACAGACCCAATGATCTTCACACTCTCGTTCCCGAACACGGCAGCAGTGCACTCGCCCGGGCACGTGCTGACTTGCGTCCACGAGGGCATGGCGGGGGGGATGCGGATGAGATACTCATAGGCGACAGGGCCCGTGAGCATGATGGACGCGTCCATGGGACGGAGGGACGGGGCGAGCTTCAGGTACAGCCCGGAGTTGTCGATCAGATCATTGCGGCCCTTGGGATTGGTAAAATGCACCTGAGGAGGGAGGGTAGGGCGCGGGGAGGAGGGCATGGCAGGGGGAATGCGGATGAGGTACCTCGTAGGGCACGGGGCCCGTGAGCATGATGGACGCGTCCATGGGACGGAGGGACGGGGCGAGCTTCAGGTACAGCCCGGAGTTGTCAACGAGATCAGCTCGCGCCTTGGGGTTGGTGAAATGCACCTGAAAGGGGGAAAGGTGGGGTGCGGAAGGGCAAGGATTAGGGAAGGTTTTGAGGGGAATGAGGTACTCGTAGGCCACAGGGCCCGTGAGCATGATGGATGCGTCCATGGGACGCAGGGAGGGCGCCAGCGTCAGGTACAGCCCGGAGCTGCCGATCAGGTCCGGCCGGCCCTTGGGGTTCGTGAAATGCACCTGAAAGGGGAGGGGCAGGGAGAAGGAAAAAGGAGACGTGAATCCTGAGTCAAACTGAAATCAAGCAAGGTTTGTGCAGTTCAGCTGTTGGAGAGCATTTTATAGACATTGGGCTATGGGGCAGTTGAATTTGAGACATTCGACTCAAGAAACAACTCAAATCGAAATCGCTATGGGGCTTGTGCAGTGCGCCTGAAAGGGGGAGAGAGAGAGAGAGCGCAGGGAGAAGGGCGAGGGGAGGTCTATCTGACACTGATAGGAACGCCGGGTTAAGAAAAGGTGGTTTGGAAGGGTCCGGGATTCATAACGGAACAAGGATGGTACTCCTGGGTGTGGTAGATAGGTAGGAGTCAGATTTGTGTGGGCATGCGGGTAGAAGGAAGGAAACCAGATGCGTGACATACAGCAGTTTTGCACCGCACTGTACCCACCTGCAGCACGAACTTGGTGAAGTATCCGGGGCCAATGGGATAGCCGACATTGGGCGGGTAAGTGAAGGGTCTGCCGCCCACAGCCCACATGGCGACAGTGATGCCACATGGGTTGTCGTGCAGGCAGTCAAAGTCGGCCTCCGCGCCCTTGAGATTTGTTGGTGGAACCCTACGGTTTGCACTCGGCTTGTTGTCCGTGTGCGTGAATGTGTGTGTGTATGGAATGGTATGAGGGCATGGGATAATATATATTTCATGCTTATAATTGTGTGTGAATGTTGAGTCATGATGTCGAGTGTGTGTGTCGAGCCAATAGCGAGTTATCGCTAGACGCGTGTTACGCGGTCGTTTGTGTCTCGCGCGCGGTTTCTATTTTGTCGTTCGCGGTTTCTATTTTGTCCTGTGTCGAACGTTCGGCGTGTCGCAGGTGTGTGCAGCAGACCCATCAAGAACTCAAGGATGAGTTTGTGATGAAGAGCCCGAGCCTTGGTGTCAAGCCTCAAGTGATTTCGAAGCTTGCCAAAAGGGTACACCTCAAGATATTGAAGATAGTTACATTACTTTGTGTAGTGTAACATTTCACTTGGTGTAGGCCCTAGTGAAGGGTAGTTTCGAGACCCTTCGTGGTTGGGGACAGTGTGGCACTATTCCACATCACTGTACCTCGGCTCTTGGGGTTTGTAGGAGCTGGGAGTCATTCCCAACTCGTAACTCTTCCTATCTTGTGTTCTAAGACTATAGTGGCTGCCATAGTACCGTTCGTTCAAACTGACGCTGTGTCGTCAATTCTTTATCAAATCGTGCAATCTAAATTGCTAATTGTAGACGACGTGAAAACGCTCCAGATCCAATTTGAATCAAGTCATTTGCAGCTGTGAGCAGAACGCTATCAACGTTTGAAGCCGCTGTGCAGAAATCCGTCTGTGCTCTCTATCTTTCGTTTTAGGCACATTCAAGTCTATTGTGACCATAACAAGTGGTATCAGAGCCCCTTGGAGCAGTTTCGACAATGTCTGGACCTGAGGAAAGGGGTGGCAGAGGTGCTGGTGACAGTGGAGAAGCTCAAGCTCAAGGCCAACCCCGTGATTCAGCCATGGCGCCCATGCAACCAAGTCTTGGCCCATCTAGGGATGAGCCTAGGGTGTTTGGGCTTGACAAGTTCAACGGTGACAACTTTGCTGAATGGTCCTTCAAGATGGAGAACATCTTTGACCACTATGACCTGCTGGAGGTGATGGAAGGAACGGAGAAGCGCCCCGAGAACGACCCGGAGAAGAGCCCGTGGGTGCGGAAGAGCGCACAAGGCTATCTCTTACTTGGGCAAGCGTTGGGGAGCAGTCAGATCCGTCACATCAAGCCATTCCAGCGTGAACCAGAGAAAGGACCAAAGGCATGGGCTGCTCTCAAGGGTGTACATGCTCCTGCAACAGCGGCGGTAGCGGTGGTGTTGGAACGGCAAATGGCGGCACTACGAATTGAAGAAGACGAAGCGGTTGAAGAAGGGGTGCAGAAATTCTTCGACTTGTTGACGCGGCTTGAGGGAGCTGATTTGAACTACAGTGAGCTCCAAAAGAAGACCAAGTTGCTGGCCTTACTCCCAGAGTCATGGTCCTCGCTCATCATCAACCTTAATCGCGACTTGCCCCGCCTCTCGCTTGAAGACGTGAAGCGAGCTATCCTTCAAGAGGATTTCCGCCGCCGTGAGTTGGCGAGTGCGGATGGCGCTGGGGCAGCGAGCATCGGCCGTGGATATGGTCGAGGAAGAGGCAGAGGACGAGGGGGAGGAAGGTTTGGTGGCAGCAACTTCGGCGGAGGCCGCAGGAGTGGCGGTTACGGCAGCGACGACAAGAGCTACGGACGCGGTCGCGGCCGATTCGACGGCGAGTGTCACTATTGCCACAAGAGCGGACACATGTGGCGTGACTGCTACAAACTCCCTGATGGTTGGACCCCTGCTCAAGGCCAAGAGGGTAGAGGAGCAGGAGGAGGGAGAGGACGAGGCCGTGGAGGCCGTGGCGGTCGCGGTGGCGGAGCTGCAAACATGAAGAGCGGAGACAACGACAAGGACCCGAGCGACGATCGATACCCGGGTCTATTCTACTTCGTGTCGACGCAAGTACCGGCTGGTCCAGAGAAGGATGAAGGCTTTGAGGAGCCAGCAGCTGTGGGGAAGGTGACCCTACACCCCCTGGACTATTGGGTGATTGATAGTGGCGCTACCTATAGCATGACACCTCGCCCGGACTTGCTCACCGAACTCGAGCCGTCACCGGTGAAGCATGTCACATCGGCTTTGGGGCAGCGAGCAGAGGTGAAAGGCATGGGCAAGGCCATGTTCAAGGGTGCTGATGGGAAGATGGTGGGCCTCAAGAACGTGCTTTGGGTGCCCAGCCTTGCTGCAAACCTGATTTCCGTGCGGCGGTTGGCAAAGGCCGGCATGGACACGAACTCGAAGGGAGCCAAGACCTACACCGCAAGGCTTGGCGATCGAATTCTTTGGGACCTTCATGAGGACAGGGATGTCTACAACGAGATGTGGCAGATCCCACTGGTCCCTATGCCTAAGGAGAGGCAAGTGGCAGCAAGCATCAGCACCAAGGATGGAGCGGTCGGTAGCGACGATGGCGCGAACGGTCGCGCTAAGGAGAATGAGCTCAAGAAGAGCAAACCTGGAGGGACCAGCAAGTTCAGTGAACCTAAGGAGAGTGGTGCAGCAACCAAGGAGAAGCAAAAGGGTGAGGAGAACCCAGAGGCAGCAGCGGAGGAGGACTACGCAGAGAGTATGTGGGGCGCTATTGCGAGCGCGGCATTCTCCAATCCAACTTCGGCTACGGGGGAGTGTGATTGGCTCACCTTGCATCGGCGCATGGGGCATGTGGCCCTGCCCATCTTGCAGCAGCTAGTGAAGAATGAGATGGTTGCTGGCATACGTGTGAAGGGGGAGCCGAATGAGGTGCTTGGCTGCCCGACGTGCATTCAAGCCAAGTTCACCCGGTTTCCGTTCCCTAGTTCGGAGGCAACGGCAAAGGCACCGCTTGATGAGGTGGTGATGGACGTGGTGGGCCCCCTGAAGCTTGGAGCTGCTGGAGCTGAGTATTTTCTCACCATTGTCGACGTCTACACCCGCATGACTTGGGTGTACGTGCTGGCCAAGAAGAGCGACGTGGCTGAAACGTTGAAGACGGATTGGTTCCCGATGGTGGAGCGGCAACAAGACCGTCTAGTCAAGTCAATCCGCACCGATCGAGGGGGAGAGTTCCTGAGCAAGGAGTTTGGGTTGTGGCTGAAGAAGAATGGTATTCGGCACTCCCTCACCATGCCATACTCCCCTGCAATGAACGGCATCGCCGAGCGAGCGAACCGCACAATCACGGAGGCGGCACGCGGGTTGCTCATTGAAGCCGGGCTACCCGACTATTTCTGGCCTGATGCGGTGCGGAGCGCGTGTGTGGCCAAGAACAGAGCCTTGACTCATGTGGGAGCAGACAAATGGGTGCCCTATGTGGAGTGGCTAGGAAGGAAGCCAAAGGTGGATATGCTTCGGGTGTTCGGGTGCATGTGCATGGCGCTCGTGCCTAAGCATCTTCGGCACAACAAGCTTGGTGCCAAGGCGGTGTGGGCCGTGCACTTGGGCATGGCTCAAAACAGCAAGGGATGGCTTCTTTGGGACCCATTCACCAAGAAGTTCTTGGTGAGCAGGGACTGCAAGTTCATGGAGAACTTCATGTACAAGGATTGGAAGGCGGAGAATGAGGCGAAGATAGGCGTGCGGTTTGGGGAGGTGAAGAGTTCCGGTTTGGAGCATGTGGAGCTGCCTTTGGAGCTGAGCAGCGGCAGCACAACCACAAGGCAATCCTCCCTTGTGAATGGGGGAGAGGAGGCCAATGATGCAGAGGAAGAAGAGGAGGAGGTGCAGCAAGTGAGCGAGCGTGCACCGTCACTCCCTTCCCGTACTACGAGTGCTCCACGGATTCGAGCCACACCGCAGCAACGCCAAGGCCTTCAAGTCCCTGCAGCTGAGGAGGAAGGAAGGGGGAAGAGGAGAGTTCAACCCCCTAATAGGCTGACCTATGATGCGCCGGGAAAGCAGGGCAAGACAGCCCTGGCCGGAGCGGCAATGATGGTCGGAGACGACGAGGAGAGTGACTACGAGGAGTGTGCCTTCGCGTTCTTCTCTCCGGTGGAGATGCCGGGAGAACCAGCAACTCTCAAGGAGGCTTTGGAGAGTAGTGATGCTGAGGAGTGGAAGAAGGCCATGGAGAGTGAGCTGAAGAGCATCGAGGAGAATGACACGTTTGAATTGGTGGAGCTACCGGAGGGGCGTACGGCGATAACGTCCAAGTGGCTCTTCAAAATCAAGTCGGATGCCGACGGCAAGATCGAGCGCTACAAGTCTAGGCTTGTAGCCAAGGGGTACCAGCAGAAGGAGAAGGTGGACTTCAAGGAGCTGTTTGCCCCTGTGGTGAAGCCGACGACGCTGCGAACCCTATTCGCGGGAGCCGCCATCAAAGGATGGGTAGTAAAGCAAATGGACATCGTAACGGCATTCCTTAACGGCATTCTTGAGGAGGAGATTTTTATGGCGCAGCCAGAGGGGTTCGATGATGGTAGTGGCAGAGTGTGGAAGCTGAAGAAGGCCCTCTATGGGCTGAAGCAGGCCCCTAGGCAATGGTACATGAAGTTGCGCGAAGTGTTGGAGGGGATCGGCTTCACTCCCTCAACGGCCGATCACTCCTTGTTCATGCTTGGCGAGGGGGAGCAGAGGAGTTTCATGGTGGTTTATGTGGATGACATCCTCATTTTCTCACCCTCTTCTGACCTTGTGAAGGAGGTGATGCTGAAGCTTCAAGACAAGTTCAAGTGCAAGGCCCTTGGTGACGTGAGCTTCTACCTTGGGCTCCACATCGAACGAGATGTGGAGAAGCGGTGCATGCGGGTGCATCAACGAAAGTACCTGGAGGCATTGGCTGCCAACTTTGGGCAGAGTGAAGGCCATGTGGCTACACCCTTTCCCTCTGGGTTCAAGTGTGTGAAGGGACCAGAGGAGGAGAGCGTTGGTGAAGAGGAGAGGCGCCGATTTCACTCGTTGGTGGGCAGCCTCATGTATGCGGCGGTAAACACCCGACCGGACGTCGCGTTTGCTACCGGGCAGCTGGCTAGGGTTGTGCAATGCCCTAATGAGGAGCAGGTAGCAGCTGGAATGAGGGTGGCCAAGTATCTTGGCCAAACACCGACCGTTGGGCTGCAATACTCGGCGGCGGCACAAAGGCGCCAAAAGGGCGCGGATGGTGTTGAACCCGGGCGTTTGTTCCTCACCGCCTACTCGGATGCTTCATATGCATCAGAATCAGAGGACATGACAAGTGTGGGAGGCTTCATATGCTGTGTTGGTGGAGGCCCAACTGCTTGGGAGAGCAAGAAGCAGGTTGACCAAGCTTTGAGCTCGGTGGAGTCCGAGTACATGGCACTCTTTCGTGCCGTACGGGAGATTGTGTGGCAACGGCGTTTGTTGGCTGAATTGGGGGAGGAGCAGCAAGGACCTACCCCACTGTACTGTGACAGCCAGGGTGCCATTGCTCTTGCTAAGAACCCTGTGTTGCATGGACTCACGAAGCACATGAGGGTGAAGTGGCATTGGACGAGGAGCATGGTAACCGCGGGTGAAGTTGAGTTGCGCTACGTGAAGACCACGGGGCAGCCGGCTGACATGATGACCAAGAGGCTGGTGGAGCAGCAGCATTGGAAGTGTTGCAAGCTGGCTGGGATGGCTCTGAACTGAGAGAGCAACATATCCTAAGGCCAACAATCCGAGGGGGAGTTTGTTGGTGCAACCCTACGGTTTGCACTCGGCTTGTTGTCCGTGTGCGTGAATGTGTGTGTGTATGGAATGGTATGAGGGCATGGGATAATATATATTTCATGCTTATAATTGTGTGTGAATGTTGAGTCATGATGTCGAGTGTGTGTGTCGAGCCAATAGCGAGTTATCGCTAGACGCGTGTTACGCGGTCGTTTGTGTCTCGCGCGCGGTTTCTATTTTGTCGTGCGCGGTTTCTATTTTGTCCTGTGTCGAACGTTCGGCGTGTCGCAGGTGTGTGCAGCAGACCCATCAAGAACTCAAGGATGAGTTTGTGATGAAGAGCCCGAGCCTTGGCGTCAAGCCTCAAGTGATTTCGAAGCTTGCCAAAAGGGTACACCTCAAGATATTGAAGATAGTTACATTACTTTGTGTAGTGTAACATTTCACTTGGTGTAGGCCCTAGTGAAGGGTAGTTTCGAGACCCTTCGTGGTTGGGGACAGTGTGGCACTGTTCCACATCACTGTACCTCGGCTCTTGGGGTTTGTAGGAGCTGGGAGTCATTCCCAACTCGTAAATCTTCCTATCTTGTGTTCTAAGACTATAGTGGCTGCCATAGTACCGTTCGTTCAAACTGACGCTGTGTCGTCAATTCTTTATCAAATCGTGCAATCTAAATTGCTAATTGTAGACGACGTGAAGACGCTCCAGATCCAATTTGAATCAAGTCATTTGCAGCTGTGAGCAGAACGCTATCAACGTTTGAAGCCGCTGTGCAGAAATCCGTCTGTGCTCTCTATCTTTCGTTTTAGGCACATTCAAGCCTATTGTGACCATAACAAGATTGCCGTACTCCTTGCTGTGAGGGGGGCGGGGTGGGGGAGGAAAGAAGAATAGCTTCGGAAACAGAGTTTGCTGGCAAAGCCAGTCCCTGCGTCCTTGAGATTGCCGTACTCTTTACTGTGGGGGGCCAGGATGGGGAGGAGAGAAAGACAGCTTGAGCCGTGGCAACGAGATATTTCGCTAGAATAGAACTGAGATAAAAGCAGGGGAGACTTATCCGTTGTCTCCCCTGCTTTTATCTTGAAGATGATGTTGGAGGGAAGGGGGGCGGAGATTGTTGCTTACGCTTTGCAGCCGTAGATGATGGCATGATGGACGGCTGAGATGTCAGTAGAGTTGAGCACGATACCCCACTCAACCGCATGAGTCTTGGTCTTGAGAGCAATGTCCACCACCTGAGGACATGATCTCGGGGCGCAAATGATTGCAGATCGGTGCAGATGGGTGCTGAAAGAGTCTCGCGGGCATGGGAAAGGGTTCTACTGTGTCACACAAGAACGAAAGAGGCACACGAGGTGGCATTCGGGGGCATTGGGTGAGTGCATTGTACCCGGAGAACACATGCACTATGATACGTGCATGGAAGAAGGCGCACGGCCCGGAGCCGTCCAGCAACGCACTATACCGCGACGCACCTTGCAGCGATAGGTCGTGTGGTTCGTTGGCACCCGGTAGTTGGTGAACGTGAAATTCAGCCTGCTCTCCTGCGCCGCCTGCTGCTGCTGCTGCTTCCCTGCCTGCTGCTGCGCAGCCAACCTCCCAAATGCTCGGAGCGAATCAGACGCAGTGGACGCGGACGCGGAGGCGGAGGCGGAGGAGGAGGCGGAAGGGGGAGGCGTGGGCGCGATAATGGAGGGGCCGGGGGCAGGAGCGAGCACGAGAGAGGACGCGCCGCGGTCGGAGCTGTGGTAGCTAACGTCAGCCGTGGCGCCCAGCGCCCAGATGACGTTGTGAAGCTTCCCGGGAACTATGGGACGGTCGTTGCAGTCGCCCGTGTCCAGCTTGCGCCACACGTGCACGGTGGTCCACGTGTCGCCCGTGGATTGGTTCTTGGTCTGACTGCCGCCCAGAATGTGCCAGTCCTGCTTGTCGTCGAGTACGATTTCGGCGGTCGTCTTGTTGAAGATGAAGCGATCCGTCGCATACACGCGGGCTTCGGACTGTGCGACCCATGCGACGAGGGCATCTGGTAGCACACGAATGCAGCGCGCAGAGAGAGCGAGATGCCCGGGAATGAGGGTTTAGGGTGACCAGATGATGAATCACTCAATGATGAAGATTACAGGGAAGTGAGCGACTCAATCGGCGAGTGCAAGGGAATGTGAGGTAAGTAGGTGAGTCGTCCAATGCAAATCCTTAGGCGGACTCAGAATGTATGCGTTCTATAATGCGGCTCCCACCCATATGCTACAGCCAGATCGGAAATCAATCATGGATAGTAACTAACATGAAGAAGCAGTATTATCGCACCCCACTGGATCGTAGGAACTTTCGTACCTGAGCCCACCATGGAGCCAATCTCGGAGATGCCTATAGCGAACCATCCCGTAGTTTTTGCATTCAATGCCATGTGAATGGTCGCGTCGCTGCTGTTGACGGTCCAATAGAGCTCGAAGCGCGGATCCAGCAACGCAACATTGGAGTAGGTGGAAAGCAACTCGGGAAGGGAAGCCGCGTCATCCGCGGAGGCAGAATGGCTACTCATAACCGCCGTGAACGCCGCCAGCAATAGGAGTAGACAACACGAGGTCTGAGGCGAAACTTCGCAGCCGTGCCGCCTGTGCGCCATCGTTCCAAGCGTCTTTTCTTAAGGACTCCTTAAGAGTCAGGGAGGAGATGGAACAACCTCTTGTCGTCTGCAGCGTGCACAAACGGGGTCTTCCGCGCGCCGAACCGACGGGGAGTGTGCGGCCGAGTGGGTCGAGTTTCTCGCTTCGCAAAGAAGCTGAAGCGACTCGAGATCTTCTCTTACTAGAGTTTTCCGCGGATGGGGTGCCACCAGTGGTGGATTTGTGTGAGGTCACAGTTGGATATGAGGGCAATTTGTAGGCGCAGGGGAACAAGGAGAGATTTCGAGCCGCCATGCTTGGCAATGTGCATCGACTATACGGTACATTGCGTTTGAATGAGAAAATTCCGAGTCGCGTGGTGTGAGGAAATGAGATTCCCCATTGAGTGACTGATAGCGTCGATCGCGGAAGCTGGCGTGGCAGTGTGGTTTGGTGGTTGGGCTCGTGGTAATTTCTGAAGACGTTCGGATTGGTGGGAGAGTGAACGAAATGGGTAACAAGAGTGGGAATCGTTCGTTGCTTAGCGAAGCACGTCACGTGTGATGTCATTTGAGAGCTTCGACGAAATGACTCGACACAACTGGCCACTCACCACACGTGGCTGACGTGGAGTGACAGCCTGTCATGTAAAAGAAAGTGAAGGCGAGGATGCTGGAGTAGTACAGCTGCTTCATCGTGTTCAACTGTTTCGTCATAAGAACCTCAACTCCTCGTGGTTCCCAAAGTTCCCAGTCACGTGGTGTAGAAACAGCTAGTGCCAAGGTGCCAGCAGGAAGGAAAAAAATAATATATAACAGCCAATCATCGCTGGAGATATTGGCTGATACGGACATACTCTGGAGTAAACTCGGCCGCCTTCTGTCTGTGCGTGTTGTTCTAATATGTGACACAATTGACATTATTTGAGGCCTCAGGGATTGAAGGTACAAGTTATAATCGGAGAATGATCTCATCTTGAACATTGCCAGCAACGTCTATAATAAAAAGCAAGTGTATCTTGCTGTAAAAAGCTTTGTAAAAACTCGCTCGACACGTCACTGGTGAAGTAGTTGGTACGAAACTTTCAAAAAGATCGCTCGGCCACGCACATTTATACTCAATGTCATCAGTCTCTGATAAATTTCACCGTTTTATACATTTGACTTTAAAACCATATACCGTTGTCTGAATGAATCAGTGTTGCCAGGCAAAATGAAAGGGTGACGTTTGCTGGCTGCAAGGCTTGGGCTAGTTCCGAAGCATGGTCCTTACTACTCTGGTACGGCGATGCACGGTCTGACAAATGTTGGAGCATGAAGTTTCGAAGCCCTGGCGATTGCGACGAGTCCATTGAATATTGCTGCGCTCGGTGAAACAAGGTTTGCCATTGGCCATTGATTTTCTCCGTAAATCACACCACACAGCACCTCATTGTATCGCATGCAAAACTCCATTGAAAAAAAAGGAATGAAATAACTCCACAAGAAAAATATCATTATTCGTGCATGTTTGCTTGCCATTGGCAACTGTCATTTTCAACGTGAGTGTTTGGAAGCTTTCCATATTCCCATTACCCTTCCAACTCGCAGATCCCCCGCTCCTAATCATCCCATGCATCATCTGCCACCCCCTCCACCTTATCCGGTCCTGCTTGAGCCACAATCATGTGCTTGTATTTCTGATCCACTATCTTCACTGCTGTTGCCCCTATCATCGTCACATTTGCGGCAGTTGCTGCCCGATTTTCCCGGAACGCTGCTGCCTCCTCCTTCTCCTTCCTCCTTGCAGCCTGAGAGATGACGGGGAAGACAAGGCATGAGAATTGTGAGATGATGAGGCACAAGGGGCGAAGGGCTGAAAAACAAGGTGGGATACAGGGAAAGCAAAGGCAGATGGGGATGCAGGGAAAATGGATTGAGGCGTTTCTTTTTTTAACCTACCTTACGTTATCCCTCACCCTACCACCTCAACACACCATGGTGTTACCTGCCTGCCTCTGCCTCACACAGGGATTATTGATCCGAGCTACCAGAAACTGAAAGAAGAGTGGAGAAGTAGTCAGTCAAGGGCAGTGTAGCATTGTTGCCATACCTTGCCAGTCGCAAACGCCATGGTGTTGCCTGCCTCTGCCTCTGACAGTGCTTTCTTGATCTGAGCCACCAGAAACTGGGAAGAAGAATGGGAGGTGGAAGAAGAATGGGAGGTGGAAGAAGAATGGGAGGTGGAAGAAGAACAAGAAACGGGTTTCAACACAGCAAACGGACTAAAAAAAAGGAGTAGGACGAGTGTACAAAAAGTGATACTGTAAAGACAGAAGGCTGCATGCAAGACGCATGCTGCATAACCCATCACCATTCCCCCATCACCATGCCCCCATCACCATGCCCCCGACACCATGCGCCCATCACCATGCACCCATCACCTTGCGCCCATCACCATGCACCCATCACCATGCGCCAATCACCATACACCCCATCTCACCGCATCCCTATCAGTGTAGAAGGAAACGGCTCGCCCAGACGCCCCTGCTCGCCCTGTTCGCCCGATGCGGTGCACATAGTCCTCTAGGGCCTGTGTGGGGAGGTGGGGGAGATGTGTATGGCAAGAGACAACTTTCATCATTTTCATGAGGCCTAAGGTATGGGGAATGAGGCATGGGGCATGGCGCATGGGGGAATGAGGCATGGGGCATGGCGCATGGGGGAATGAGGCATGGGCATGGCGCATGGGGGAATGAGGCATGGGCATGGCGCATGGGGGAATGAGGCATGGGGCATGGCGCATGGGGGAATGAGGCATGGGGCATGGCGCATGGGGGAATGAGGCATGGGCATGGCGCATGGGGGAATGAGGCATGGGGCATGGCGCATGGGGGAATGAGGCATGGGGCATGGCGCATGGGGGAATGAATGAGGCATGGGGCATGGCGCATGGGGGAATGAATGAGGCATGGGGCATGGCGCATGGGGGAATGAATGAGGCATGGGGCATGGCGCATGGGGGAATGAGGCATGGGGCATGCAGCAGAGGGCAAGCAAGGGGTCACCTTGGGGAGGTCCATGTTGACGACGAGCGCTACTCCTGACACATCCAGCCCTCTTGATGCCACGTCCGTTGCCACCTGCAGGAATGAACACGTGGTTGAAATGCTTAAAAAGGCCGAAACAATCATCGCTGGATACCACGACCGTTGCCACCTGGAGGAATGAACACGTGGTTGGCATGAGCACCCAGCGCCCAACACCAACAAGGATATTCAGTGGTGTTTTTTATGGGAAGAGCAGCAGAAAGCTGTCACGAGCAACAAGAAGTTGGAATCCAGGAACAAGCTGAGGAAGAAGCGCTCAGCATACATCCAGCATCCAAGGCTGAGCACTCACGAGGATGTTGATGGTGTTCTTGCGCAAGTCCAGCAGCGCGGCCTGTATCTCTCTCCCTGGCTTCAAACCCAGCAACAAAACCAGAAACAAGCCCTCAGCACCCAGCCCCCACCATCCAGCCCACAGCATCCAGCCCTGAGCTCACAGCCCCCTGGCACTTACAAGGATGTTGATGGTGTTTTTGCGGAAGTCCAGCAGCGCCGCCTCTCTCTCCCCCTGGCTGCGCCCCCCATGCAGTGCTGCTGCCTTGAGCCCCTGCGCTGTCAGCGCCTCGCACACCTCGTCACACTTCACCTGGTGAGGGCAAGAACGAGCGGGAGAGAGACAAGCGGATGGTGGGTTTTCGGGAATATTTGCTGCCTTGAGCCCCTGCGCTGTCAGCGCCTCGCACACCTCGTCACACTTCACCTGTTGTTGTTATCAGACGACAGTTGGATAGGACGTAAGGGGTTGATAACAAGGGAGAGAAACAGATGGAAATTACAGGATAGGGTGTTTGAAAGCAGGATAGGATGTTTGAAAAAAGGAGTGAGAGGGTTTGGGCGGATTAGGTGTTGGCACAGAAAGTAAATGATGGTAAGTGACAGTAAATGAGTGAGTCGCTTCAGCACAAAAAGCACCCTCGGCTAGAAGACTATCCCCTGCATCTCACCTTGCGCTACACAAACACGATGGTGAGTGGCAGCGGCCGCTGCCACGCACCTCACAATGACCTGACCAAAATGATGGGATGGGGAAGATACCACAACTCTTGGCGAATCTTGCCACCCCCCTGCAACGCACCTTGCGCTCCACAAACACGATGGTGAGTGGCAGCGGCTGCTGCCCGCTCTCTGCAGCGGCCATCTCCTCCACCAGCAGCTGCAGCAGCCGATCCACCTTGTCCTTCTCAGGCACCTTCTCCAGCGACTGGGTCACGTTCTGCGTGGGGCTGCTGACGCGCCCCACCTTGACGCGCGCGGGCGTCTTGAGGTACTCCTGCGCCAGCGCCTCTATTTCCTCCGGCATCGTGGCTGAGAACAGCAGCGTCTGGTGCTGCTTTGGCAGGTTTGACATGATCTGCAGCGGGGCGGGGAGGGAGGGTGGTGGGGTGTAAGACGGGGGGAGAGAAGGGGGGAGACAGGGGTAGCGCGCCCACCTTGACACGCACAGGCACTCCTGGGCCAATCAGAGACACCCAAAGGAGCCACCTTGACGCGCACGGGCGTCTTGAGGTACTCCTGCGCCAGCGCCTCTATCTCCTCCGGCATGGTCGCCGAGAACAGCAGCGTCTGGTGCTGCTTCGGCAGGTTCGACATGATCTGTGGGGGGGAGGAGGGGTAGGGAAATGTGGGGTAGGGAAATGTGGGGTAGGGAAATGTGGGGTAGTGGAATGGACGCACTATCACCTTCTTCATCCGTTTCTTGAACCCCATGTCACGCATGTGGTCAGCCTCGTTTCACAACACCACACCACATGTACCCCCTTTTCAAGTCTGCCCTTTTGACCCTCCTGAACCCAATTTCACCCCTGCGTCTCTCAGCTCCTTATTCTGCCCTCACCTCCTTCATCTGGGGTTCGAATCCCATGTCCAGCATCCTGTCAGCCTCGTCCAGCACAACAAAAGACACACGCGCCAGCGATGTGTTGCCCTGCTGCAGATGGTCGATGAATCGTCCCGGCGTCGCCACCACCACCTGCACGCCCCCTCGCAGCACCGACCGCTGCTCGCTCATGTGCGTCCCGCCCACTATGATGGCCGTCTTAAACCCATCTGATGACAGGCTGAACGCTTTCACCTGGGGTGAGGATTTATGAGGGGTTGGAGAAAGTGCAGCAAGAGGGGTACGGCGTGGGTATGGGGGTGGTAAGTGTCGCCACCACCACCTGCACGCCCCCTCGCAGCACCGACCGCTGCTCGCTCATGTGCGTGCCGCCCACTAAGATCGCCGTCTTAAACCCGTCTGATGACAGGCTGAACGCTTTCACCTGGGGTGAGGGGTTGGAGAAAGTGCAGCAAGAGGGGCAGGACCTGGGTATGGGGGTGGTAAGTGTCACCACCACCTGCACGCCCCCTCGCAGCACCGACCACTGCTCGCTCATGTGCGTGCCGCCCACTATGATCGCCGTCTTGAACCCATCCGATGACAGACTGAACGCTTTCACCTGGGGTTTCGGGTTTGGGGTTTCAGGTTTGCGGAAAGAGCAGGCAAAAGGATAGAGACGGCTTTCACTTGAAGTTTGGAAGGGGTGGAGTGTGTGCGCAAGTGCGTGGCAGAAGAGGCACCGCAAGCTGCATGCTACATCACCTCAAACTACGCCACTTCCATGCCTCTCGACTCGACACGTGCCTCACCTCCTTCTCAATCTGCTGTGCCAGCTCGCGGGTGGGCGCCAGCACGAGCGCCAGAGGCCCATCGCCCGGCCGCAGAGGCGCTTGATGCAGGCAGTGCTGCGGGCGGGCGCGAGGGGGGAAGGGGTGGGGGGCAGAATATTGTTGAGACGTCTAAGAAATCATCGCCCTGTTGCAGAGGGGGCGGAGATGCAGGCAGTGCTGCGGGCAGATGCGAGGGGGAGGAGAGAGGAGGGGGGCGGGGGAGGAGACCAGGCGGTCCAATGCAGACGGGAAGGGGAGTTAGGAGACATGCAGGAACCGGCGAGGGAGGGCAAAAAAGTCGAAGAATATTAATATAAATCTCCTACGAACAAGACAGCCGGAAACGAGAGGGCATTCAGGCACCTCTGTGGATTGAGGGTGCAGAGGAGGGAGAAGAAAGGAAGAGGCGGTGGCTGTTGAGTTGCCTCTACAGGCAGCTCAGGCAGCGTACCAGGATCACGGGGATGGCGAAGGCGTGCGGACACATGGAATGGCAGGTGCGAGCGGCTCACTTGAATCATGGGGATGGCGAAGGCGGCGGTCTTGCCGCTGCCGGTTTCAGCACAGCCGAGAAGGTCGCGGTTGGAGAGCGCGATAGGCATGGCCTGCGCCTGGATGGGCGTGGGGTTGGTGTAGCTGTGGTACACGATGTCCTTTGAGATGTTCGGGTGCAGGCCCTGAAGTTGGTGGGGGGGTTGGGGGAGGAGGGAAAGAGAGGAACGAAACGAGGAAGGCGGGATGTTGGTAAGATGGGACTGATGGGCGTGGGGTCGGTGTAGCTGTGGTACACTATGTCCTTTGAGATGGTCGGGTGCAAGGGAGAACATAAAAGTAATAAATGATAATAAAATGAACTCACCATGTCGTCAAACGACTCGACTGGAGCGGGAGCAACGCCCGTGCCAGGCGTGACCTCCACCGTCACGTTCAGCCGCGCGCGGACCTCGGCGATCTGTAGCAGGGAAATGGCAGTCAGTGTCATCAATTTTAAGGATGCAGAAACATTTAGAGCCAATCAGTACCATGCAGTGTGATAAGTGTCGATCAATGGCATCCGGTGTGAATCAATCTCATTAGGTGACATTCAGAGTCAGTCAATGCCATTCAGTGTCAAACAATGCCATTCAGTATCAGTTGATGCGGGACACTCAGAGCCAGACGGTACCCATGCAGTGTCATTCAATGTCAGTCAATGCCATTCAGTGTCAGTTAATGCAATTCGGTAACATTCAGAACCAGACAGTGTCCGTGCAGTGTCATACAGTGTCAGTCAATGTCATTCAGTGTCAGTTAATGCAATTCGGTAACATTCAGAACCAGACAGTGTCCGTGCAGTGTCATTCAGTGTCAGTCAATGTCATACAGTGTCAGTCAATGTCATTCAGTGTCAGTCAGTGCCATTCAGTGTCAATGAAAGCCATCCTGCGTCATTCATTGTCGTTCAGCATTAGAAAAATGGTGTTCATACAGTGTCGGGATAATGCCAGATCAATAACAAACAATTACATGGTAAAAGGTATATAGAGCAGAATTTCAGCACAAGAGGGTTACGATTGACACCAACAAGAGATTATCGGTATGAATTTTCAGTCCATTCAAACGCGTAGACGTGGACGGACCACAGAAGACTGAAACTGCGAACCTACGAGATTCCGTGACTTACTGCTATATACGATAATGACGCATGTCGCATTTCATGAAACATTGACACATCCTTCCAACTTGGCATCACGAGCATGATTGAGGAACATGAGTGACGTAACAAAAGAACTATGCCGGTAACGAGATCGTATGGATGTAACCAGTAGTCTCCGTGTTTCGCGTTGAACAGAAGGAAGCGGACGACATATCATCAGGACATAGCAAGCGGTTACATGACTAATTTTCAGGACAACCAATCTGAAGGAATCAAATAGCAGACCTGATCTCCTTGCATGCGGATGACATATTGAACGGTCAGACGCCTTACATCCAGGACGCTCGTATCTGAAGAGATCAGAAGATACCCTAATCCGCTTGCAAACGATTCACATGGTCAGACGCTTCTATCCTGGTCCGTCTTTTCGTATAGGTTAGGAGCTACGGAATTATTGCAAGCAGACGACAACCTCAGACCGTGTATTATCCGGGACTGACATCTCTTAACGCCGAAACTGACATATTTTAACGGATCAGAAGCTAACCTGGTCTTCTTGCAAGCGGATCACGCGGTCCGACGGCTTCCATGCCGGGCAGACCGGCTCTGGAGGGCCGCTTCCCCGGGTCTCTACCGGCCGACGGCTGCTGCTGAAGCTGCTGCTGCCGCCGTCCCTGCTGCCGCCGTCCCTGCTCCCTCTGTCATCCCTATCCCTCCGATCGTCTCTATCTCGAGAGCCGTAGCTTCTAGAGCCGAAGCTGCCATAGTCGTTCCGATCGCCGTACCGGCCTGGGGGATCGGATCGGCCTCCTTGGGAGGATGACGGGGGGGCGGAACCTCCAGCCGACCCGCCCGCCGAGTTGCGTAAATGAGGTGGTACGTACGGCATTGCAGGATCGCTTACAAAGGCTAGGAACGTGAATTAAAAAAAGCTGGATCACGCAAAATGTCGGCTTGCGGAGCTGTGCGCTGGTCTGATGCGTCTACGCTGCGCACCGGCAGTTTGATCCTTACTTCTGCTGGTAAGGTTCTCTTGAAATATCTCAACGATGACAAGTTAGGAAATTCTGGGGGTTCCTAAAACTAGTCCAGTGACGCTCCTATTGACGACAAACCCAAGACCTTGAGTTCATGCTTTTTTTTGTTGAATCTGCTCTGTACACAGGCGCAGGAGTTGAGTCGCTCGCGCAAGCGGAAGGCGCAATGGAGCGGGTGTGAACTTGTTCCCGCACACGAGCTTCCCGAAGGATCTCCGCTTTCTCCGCAAACGGCCGACTCCCGTCCCGTGGCGTGCAATTCCCAAGGGAACGTTCCGCCAGGCACGCGCTTCCTCAATGAACACGGGCAGATCTCTGTCATACCCAAGCACGGGAGCCGCGGATTGGCTGATCGATAAGGGGAAAGGTGACGTGTCAGAAGTTGCGTTTGTGTACTAGAACATAACAATATGACACAACATAATAGCATTATCCTAACCCCAACACTCACAACCAACCCATACGATTATTGATGATTCTTATTCTCCCAGTTCCTACTACTTCCTCCTGGAATTGAAAAAAAACACCTTAATTTATGGAATATATACGCCGGCGAAATCTGTCAAGGCTAATATATTTTAAAAAATCACAAGTTACACGCCAGTACCGATTTGAGCGGAACATGGCAGTTTTGTTATTGTGTTCATTTCAGGTTATGCTGTTCCTCTAGGTCCATAATGTGGTGTGGTTCCTAGTGAATCACCCCCTGGTCTTCGCGAGACCATGTTGTTACAAGCGAATCCGACGAACCGACACGCACCTACCCCCATTCCGTCACTTCAGCCACCCCTCCGACAAATCCTTCGCATGAAAACTTCAGACGAACGAGTTGGCGAAACAGCAAAAGCAGTGTCGTCAATTCGTATTTACACGAGCGAGCTTTCGCGAGCGTCGGAGCACCTGCTCCTACGACGTATCAATTCATCGACACGTGTCCGCTCTTCCGCCAGCCCAAGCCGACCGCACCGCCATCCAATGTCGCGGCTCGATGCTGGATTCCTAGAATCAAACAGCATAAATTTCAACGAAGCACCTCACAGAGACATCGCCAATTCCTCTCACACTCCGTGCAGACCAATCCAACCAGAACTACCACCACTACTACTGTCTGAACCACACCGAAAGCAACGACGGTACTACTCATCCTGTAAACACACGCTCAACTATGGCTGCGCCCACCATTCGCATCCAGGCTGCCGTGACTCTGGCACTCTTCCTCTCAGGTAAGAGGCATATTATTGGTCTTGCCTAGCATGCATGCGCCCACTGCTTGAATCTCTGCATACTCAACAAATATGGTCCCTAAGATTTTACAGAACTGACCTGTGCTCATTCTCTGCTGCTTTTCTTCTGCGCTTCACCTCCATGCAGCTCTGATTATTCCCCCCGCGTCTGCCATACGGTTGGGGATGCGAACGCAAGTTTTGGGTGAGCAAACTTCTCGGAACTGATTGATACAACTGTAGACGGCAAATGCATTATCTGGGTTATGCTTCTTTCGCTCTCTTTCCATCTATTTGGCGTTTTCCTATTATTTACGGTTACCCAATTCTCCCATAACTCCTCACCACCAATAACGCCCTCACTTCCCACTTCCCTGCTTTTACATATCCCCTGCGTGCAGCATCGGTGAACGGCCCTCTGGTGATGTGTGGCTCTGGCGAGACTGAGGGGTCAGCCCAGCTGGAGCTCGTGAGAAGGTGAGTCGCACAGGCACTCATAATAAGCTAAGCACCCCTGGACACTCCTGAGAACCCCTGAGCGACCCTCAGCACTCCCCAGCACTCCTGAGCACTTTCGAGCACTCCTGGGAACTCGCAAGACCACACAGCTTCGTAGCTAAAGAAATGATGGGGCCAGTGCTTTTACTCAACTCAATTCATCACCCCTCACTCATCTCCCACTTATCCCCCACCCTACCTCACGCTTTCCCTCCGCCACACCACAGGGGACTTGCTCTCTTCCTCACCTACAAGCTCACCACCCAGGCCGGCACGCGCCCCTCCTCCAAGCCCCACCTCCTCACCGCCAACCCTGCCCCTCCTCCTCCTCCACCACCTCCACTGCCACCGCCGCCTCTCTCGCCCTCGACCCGGCTCTCTCGGCTCAGCTCGGCTCCTCTCTCACAGCCAATCCCCTCAACGCCACCGCGGGCGCCGCTGCTGGAGCCTCAGCCAGCCTTCTTAACACCTCCGCGGGTGTTGGTGCCACAGTGGGGGCGTCTCTTCCCAACGGAACGGTGGATGCGGCAGGAGGTGTCTCGGCTTCTACCAGCCTGATGGGCACATCTGCTGGTGTTGGCGCTACCATTGGAGCGTCTCTTCCCAACGGAATGGTGAACACAGCAGGAGGTGTCTCGGCGTCTACCGCGCTGCTCAACACATCTGCAGGGGTGGGCGCTGGTGCCGTCGTCTCTCTCCCCAACGGCTCTGTCGCTGCAGCGGGTGATCTCTCTGCTTCCACCGCCCTCCTCAACACATCCGCTGGTGTTGGCACCACCGTTGGCGTCTCCCTTCCCAACGGCACTCTCTCAGGATCCGGTTCTCTCGCTGCCTCCACCGGCCTCCTCAACACATCCGCCGGGGTAGGAGCCACGGCCGGGGTCTCCCTTCCCAACGGCACTGTCGGTGCAACGGGCGGCGTTGCTGCGTCCACGGGGCTGCTCAACACGTCTGCTGGTGTTGGCGCCAGCATTGGCGCTTCCCTTCCCACCGGCTCTGCCTCAGCAGCAGGAGGCCTCACTGCCTCCTCCAGTCTCCTCAACACGTCAGCCGGCGTGGGAGCAGGAGTGGGCGTGTCTCTCCCCAATGGCTCTCTCTCCGGCTCTGCCTCCCTTGGAGCCTCCTCCCCTCTCCTCAACACCTCAGCCGGAGCCGGTGCTGCCGTCAACGCAGGCTCGGGCGGCATCAACGCCAACCTCAGAGCCTCGGCGAACCTTGGAGGCTCGGTCTCCGGCCTCATCTCCGGCGTGGGCGGGGCCGTGGGGAGCCTCGTTGGCTCGGTGGGGAACATGGCAGGCTCGGTGGGCAACATGGGAGCCTCCGTCGGGGCGTCCCTCTCCCCGATTGCGGTGCTGAGCAGTGCGTGGGTGGGTACCAGTGGTGGCACCTACGCCATGGTCGGGCAGACTCGAGTGTCGGCAGCGCTGGCGTCTGCCCTCGTGACCCGCATGTCCACCAACATGCCTATCTTCCTGCACGTGCGCGTCGGGGCACAGGGCACCCTTGTGGCCAGGATGGAGTAGCGGGGCTGGCGGAGGCAGGGCAGGACACGGGGGAACAGGGGATGGGTGCATATGAACTGCTCTCTTATGTACGGCTGTGGAGGAGGTACACTTTCTGCTATTTTATATGTCAGGTGGTGTCTGAGGGTTGACATACGGTATGGTTATCACCTGGGTCTGGTTTGCTGAAGTGGATGAGCTGCGCTGTGTGAGCTTTAGAGGGGATGCATCTTTTGGTGTTGGAGTGTAGTTGTAAATCAGGTGAGTGGGGTCTGCAGAAGGGAAGGCAGTTAGGGTCAGTCAATGGAGGGGATTGAAGACGGTGGGCGTTGGAGCATGGAGGGCACGAGGAGTGTCGGAGCACGGGGCGCATTTGATGGTGGCAGGGAGGACAAGCATGCCTGGGAGGAAGCTGCAAGTCTCGGTTAATGGCTCTCTCTCACAGCCCAAGCAGGCACTAGGCTAAGCACTCAGTGCTGCTGATGCTCATTCACGCCACCGCTGGCCTTGTTTTCTAGTCTCTGCTTGGGCTGTGAAGCTGGGAAGACAGACAGATGCTGTTTTACTGTGCCTTGCATCTTCCTCCCTTGTGAATAAATGCCTTCTAGTGGACCCATGTTTATTTTGCACCTTTACATTTACCTCCTGGCTGGACCATGTACGGTACCTCCTGCCTGACCGAAGCATTTAGTCATACCTCTTGGCTTAAGTGATAAAAACCAACGACGGATGGCATAGCACAAGATAACGAATGAAAGAATAGACCAATGTAGAAAGTTGCACAACAGCATAAGGCACTGAAAATATGGCCCCAGGTTCCGAACGCGATCTAACAAAGAGAACTACATCAGGGAAATCTAGTGAGGCAAGCGGAAGATAAGTACAGGTGTGCAGCAACTTTGTAACAGGCTGATACAGGGAAGTATTTACATGCGCCTCCTACACGCCCCAATCCATGCTGCTCTCCACCTTCCGCTTCCCCTTGAAACTCCCTGCTGCTCACCGAAAGGTTGAATGGAGTGCAGGGAATGTAGAAATGGAATGGATGGATACACAATTGAGCAACGGCTGTTGCAAAGGACGCATTTACATGTGGCCTGCCTCCTACACGCCCCAGTCCATGCTGCTCTCCACCTTCCGCTTCCCCTTGAAACTCCCTGCTGCGCAAACACAGGTCGAATGGAGCATAGGGAATACACACACAGTAGGATACACACCCTGAGCAAGGGAGGGATGCAAGATGCTTGAAATGCAGTCACAGCACAATAGGGAGGGAAGGACCCACCTCACCTCACTCGTAACCCCCCCTATCACCTCACTCATCTCCCCTCTCCTCCAATCACCTCCTCTCCTCTTGGTAACACGCTCCCTGCCGCCAGCCTGCACAGCACCGCTCTTGCTCCTCAACCCGTTCCATCAACCTGCCCCCTGACCCTGGTCTTTGAGTCAACTAAATCTCACCTCCTTTTTCCTTACCAACACGCTCCATGCTCCCGGGCAGCACATGACAGCTGTTGCTCCTCCCACTCTTTCCATCAACCTGCAGTGTCCTTCAATCACTCACCTCCTCTTTCAGCAACACGCTCCTTGCTGCCAGTCTGCCCATGCTGGCTCTTCCCACCCACTCCATCAGCCTGCCTCCTGTCGTTGCCTCCACCTACACCCCTGCCATAGCCTTTACTTCTGTTCCTATTCCACTCCCCATCCTGCTCTGCATCCCTGCCGTTCCCTCTCCCTCTTCCCCTGCCAGTCTCTCTCCTCCTCTTCCCGTGGTTCTCCTCCTCCTCATGGTCTTCCATATCTCTCTCTTCCTCTCCACTTTCTCCTCCTCCACTCTCCCACTCCCAATCTCTGTCTCTGTCCCTGTCTATGCCACTGTTCATTCGTCTCTCTCTGCTTCCCTCTGCAGCTCTGCATCTCCTCTTACCGCCCTCCCAAGCCTCCTCTGCACCCACAAAACCCTGTCTATGGTCAACAATATTCAGGATGCCTGCTCCGGACGAACCCCTGGCCTGCTCCCGAACCTGCCCCCGAGCCTCCATCCCCATGGCTCTTGCTGGTTCGGAAAAGCCTCGGCCAGAAGGTGACTCCCGGGCAGAAAGGCGGGCATGAGGGCTGTGATTGGCTGACGGCTGCCTGGAAAATGCGCGTGTGGAACTAAGCTGCCTTGTAACCGCAGGGCTGGTGGTAACAGCGGCTCTGCTGGTTGCCCGTGCAGCTGGGGAGGAGGAGAGCGAGGAGAGCGAGGAGGGTCTGTGTGTGTATGAGCGGGGCGGGGAGTAGTTGAGAGGTTTCTTCTTGATATCTGACACTAGCCGTGCCTGCACACTGCAAGGTGATACGGAGGGGAGAATGGGAGGGAGGATGGGGGAAGGAGAGGGGGAGGAGGAGGGAGGCGGGGGGGAGGAGAGGGGGAGGGGGGAGGAGGAGAGGGGGGGAGCGGGGGAGGGAGGTCGGAGGGGAGGAGGGGAGGGGGGGAGGGGGGGAGGAGGGGAAGGGGGGAGGGGAAGATTAGGGGAAGGGGGGAGGCGGGGACATGTGGGATGAGACAGGGAAGACAACCTATGCATGTGAGAGTATCAAATCAAACAATTGGCTGAGAATGATAAGTCCCCAGACCCATCCACGAAGACGCCACGTCCCGCCCACCTGTTGGCATATCCCAGGCGAGCCTTCTTGAGCATAGAGCTGCCTGCCTTGTTCGCCCAGGCTGCTGCTTGAGAGGAGGGCCCTGCAGAGACAGAAGCGGGTGAGGGGGAGTGACAGAGGGACAGTGAGGTTTGAGGGGAGAGATGAAGGGAAAGTGAGGGGTGGGGGAGAGTGAGACAGCGAGGGGCGAGGGGAGAGACAAACAGGGAAAGTGTGATAGACGGCTTATGATTGCAAGACCGCAGCATCAGATTTTATAATAATGACCACCAGTAATGACATACCTGATCGGCAGATCCAAAAACCGAAGAGAAAAAACACCTGAAATACCTGATAGCACACCTGAGGAGAACATTCTCCTGCGTGTGACTGAGAGGCGTGGCTTCTCGAGCACCTGCAGCCGCCGCTGCTTTTTCACTGGCGGAAGCAAGACGTGGGGGAAGAGGTGACAGCAGGCGAAGGAAGAATGGTCGTAAGTGACAACGAACGAGGAAGACGGATACACGTCGAAAACGGCAAGCAAACCCATGGTCAAAGGAAAACCTGTTAGCCGGAAGGAGCAAAAAACAGATGCTGAATGAAGGCTGGTTAAACAGGAGAAATCTCATCTAACGTGGTTTAAAACTATCTGATGCCGTTTGAGTCTTGCCGAGCAATCTCTAATCCCTGAAAGCACTGCTCAGCTTGTTTAACGGCGTCTCACCCGCATCCGCGTTTACCCAAACCTTCGTACCTTCCTCTGCCCGGTGATAAAGCTCTTTCAACCGCGAAACACACTTCTGCTGCGTGCGATCATCTGCCTGCTGCCGAGCCTGATGTGTGGACGGCAGAGGGAAGAGGGATGGAATGAGATGAAGTGCAGCGGGGAGGGAGAGGTTTCAGTGGTTCCAAAGCGTGCGTGTGGAAAATTGTGGGAAAGCAGCAGAGTTTTCATGCCCATGACCTGCGCCCAGAACCAAACCAAAGTTTCTGAGGCCTGGAGCTTACATGGTACAGCTGGCGCCACGTGTAGAGTACTTTTGCTTGCTTCATTCTGTCCTGAACCTGCTCCACGCCATCAATGCCGTACCTGCATCATGGGTCATGGTTGATGGGTCATGCATGGGTGATGAGAAATAGGTGATGGTTGATGGGTGATGGCTCATGGTTGATTGGACATTGTCAGGCCGGGGAGAACATGGAAATGCACGAAAGCGAAGGACGGGGAGGAGGAAAAAAGGCGGAGAGTCTAGGCGCGCACACCTGCGTTCGTAGCACCACTCCCAGAGGTCGTCTGTGAAAGGGGTGACTTTTGAGACGTCTAGGAAGAAGGACGGGAAGGTGAGGGGGAAAAAAGGCGGAGAGTCGAGGCGAGCACACCTGCGTTCGTAGCACCGCTCCCAGAGGTCGTCTGTGAAAGGGGTGAAGTCACGATCCTGAACAAGAAACCGGAAACAAGCAGGGAAAGTGATAGCAGTTCTGTCGTTAAAACGGTACAGGGATAGCATCTTAACTGAGTCCAGTGCTGGCAAATGCATTTCAACCTGATTATAGTTCAATCATAAATAGGCAATGAATCCGCGCTACATTGCTCGAACAGGGTACTACGCAGATGAGGGAGGGCTGCAGGACGCAAACTGCTCTTTTGAGATTGACCTTATTTTCGTTCTCAATCCGGTCCAGTTGATCCGCCGTGCAGTGTTCGAACACGGGTCGCAGCAACGACAGGTCCATGTCGCCGAGGTCGCCCAGCAGGTCGCGATGGTCGATCAGCGACAACACGCACAGCGTCGCCAACGACTCCACCGCCATTTCGTCGCATGCGAAGAAAAGCTTAACGGTCAATTGAAGCTAAGCGGTCAGATGAAGGTAAGCGGTGTTATAACGAGGCTGAGCAGTCTTATCTCGAGGCCAAGCGGTCTAATGAACTAAGCGGTATTCTACTGGAAACAAATGGTCTTACGATGAATTCAGACGGTACTCCAGCAATCGATCACTAAACCACGTGGTGTAACCCAATAAGATAGGAAGTAATGAGGAGAACACAGGACGCTGGGAGCTGCGATGAAAGAACCTAGGTCGAGATCCCAACAACGACGCACAACGTCTTGCTGCTAGTGCAGCGTCTTTCATTAAAAAAAAAACTGGAAACCTAATCAAATGCTCCTGAATCTATAGAAATTGTATAACTGCGACCTATTGGAGTCGTCCTATGCACTCTAATCATCACAATCCACCCTTGGTTCTCCTGAATTCAAATAAAGACGTCTCTGACTCAACTCCCATAATAACCCAACTATTTATTGCACTCAGATTCTGCAAAGAGTCACTAATGTCATGCCTCAGCATTCGGCCTTGAGAATGCCTAACTCATATCGCCCTAACTGAATGCATACAGAGTCCTGCCGTCTTCATCAAATATTGTTGAGAGCTCTAATTTCTGACTTTTTTTGGACCTCAAGGGAAGGTTGCGCAGGAACTCTGAACACAGGGATTTTCATCAGGTCGCCTGACACTTTCGTCGACGACTGTTGTAACAAGCAGGATTTCGTCGCATTGAGTTCGTCCATTCACTCAGCTCCCAAGTGGGCTGTTCAAACTGTGTTTTGCACTTTCGCGGTATCAACGAAGCAGAGTAGCCTGGGACGATTATTTCGTCAAAACATATTTGTTTCGGCAAAGGCGAACGCTCAGGAGAAAACACCAGCAGGACTCCCGTTGGCGAGGTTTGTTGTTCCCAACCTTGATGTAAAACTGGGCCTGCATTTCCCCCAATCTTGTACTTGTTCTGTTGGCATTTCCTTCTGCCTTACCATTTCCTTTTTTACCTTCACTGAGGTTTCACCACCGCACCATGCGCATTCTTTCTGTTTCGTCGTCTGCTTTCTATCTAACCCTTCTCCTCCTCCTCCCCCTGTTCGCGCCGCCGTTATTCGCGCACGAATGTCCGTCGTTACAATGCGGAATGATGCGGCGAGGGTACATCTGGGACCACGACGCGTTGGGTAACCTGGACGAGCAGGAGATTAACGACGAGACGCAGAAAGTTCAGGCGTGCGCGATGCTGTGCGCCGCCACGCCGGAGTGCTACATCTGGCAGCTGAGAGTGGTGGAGGAAGGAGGTGAGGATCCATCTAGGTCGAACCATCTGGTGAAACACCATACAAGGTGAATGTTGAGTCGACTGATAGCTCACGCCGGAGTGCTTCATCTGGCAGCTGAGAGTGGTGGAGGAAGGAGGTAAGGAGGATTCACCTAGGTCAAACACAAACACACTGGTGAAACACCCCGACAACGGCTCCCTGGTGAATCATGCCTGCATATTTTTCACTGTCCCTGAATCTCCACGCAGCCACCCTTTCTTGGCACCCTCTGACTCAAAAGTCACCTGGTGAAACACCCGGATAACGGCTCCCTGATGAATCATGCCTGCCATATTTCTCGTTACTGTCCCTGAATCTTCACGCAGCCACCCTTTCTTGGCACCCTCTGCGCCGTTCAGACTAGCTCGCACTGCATTGGATAACAGTTCAACGTCTGCAAAACAAGGACGGGAGACAGGAGGAGCATAGCCCATGCCTGACCAACCCTGACACCCCCAAATCAGCTCCACACACCTCTTTTCCCTGCTCCCCTTTCATTCTTCTCCCGTCCAGACTTCTGCTGCATGTGGCGGGAGGATCAGAGCCCTTACCTGGTTGACCCGTCAGATGGTGCCAACCCCATCCACTACATCCCCCCCCCCAACGCCTCACCCTCCCAACCCAACCCCCCACCCCACCCTCCAGCTTTTTGTCGCATGTGGCGGGAGGAGCAGAGCCCATGCCTGGCAGACCCGTCAGACGGCGCCAACCCCATCCACTACAACCCCACGCCCCCCTGGAAGGGCGTGTTCGGCTTCGGGGGCGGGTGCAACCGCAGCAAGCGGGGCCGAGGCACAGAGAGCACCGCAGCAGGGCAGGGGGGCGCCGGGGGGAATGCTACAGCGGTGGCAGGAGGGAGGGGTGGGAATGGGAGTGTGGCAAATGGGGGAAGGGATGGGCGGACGCGGCAGCAGGGGTATGAGGGGAAGCAGCAGGAGCTGGAAGCACAGCAGCTGGTGCCGCAGGCGCACGCACAGGGGGCAGGAGGGAGGCTACCAATGCTGACAGTGGAAGGAACGGCTGGGGTGAAAACAGGTGTTGGATATGGCATGCGTGTCTGAATGTGCCTGTTAATGCGCTTTTTGTAAAGCACTGCAGTGATTGCTAGCTGATTGCCACATTCATTCCCCATCACAAGCTTGACCTGTTTCTTGCCCCGTTCTATGTGTGCCAACCCTTGTGCCTATCCCTGTGCCCTCCTATCTGCCAGACCCCAATGCCACAGCCGCATGCCCCGATCTCATGTGCAATGTGGCAATCAAAGGTATCTTCTTTGACCATGAGGGGAAGGGCCATCTGGGGGAGAACACAACTGGCCCGGCCAACCGTGCCCATAGCTGCTGGATCATCTGCCGGAAGACCGAGGGCTGTGCGTTTTGGAGTTATCATCGGGAGAAGCCAGAAGGTCAGGAATAACATGAATTAATGTTCTTCGGTACCTCTTCTCTTATATTAAACCACATTGCATCCTTCGTTGCTTGTTTTTGTGTTTTGTATTTTTTTCTCACTGGGTTTATTTTGTCAGGTCGTTGTACAATGTGGAGTGAGCAGCAAGACCCCTGCAAGCCTGCGGACCCCAGTGACCCTACAACTGCACGCTACCGGCCCTGGCCAGATAGAGAATACCTTGTTGGCGGGCACTGTAAAGGTGGGGCCACGCCTTTTGGCCATGTAGTGCGTCGCAAAGGCCCTTAGCAGCATATGTATTGAATATAGATTGTTTGTGTATGTTTTGACTGATGTAACACTACTTGTCGCCTTTGTGTTCGCAGTCTCGCAGTCAACGCTTGTGAAATTTGTGCATACCTTCGCGTCACCTTCGTTGATGCTGCCCTTCAAGGGCTGCGAGCGAAATGTGTCGTTGTCGTCACGTTTGTCGTCTGTGGCGGGGCTCGCGAATCACGACATCCATTTTGGGAAAAAACGACAAGATCCATCCATCCTAGGACCCCGCGCGTCACCGTCGGATCACCGGATGGCGCGTTGCACGCACCGCGCACCGCACGACCCCCAATCGCAAGGGAGCGAAATTGCTCGGGGCCCACCCGTTACTGTACTAGCTCCCCTGACTGGACAGTCACCCCCCCTTCTGCTGCAGCTGCGCGTGCGTCATCCAGCTGCGCCCAGGGGGGAATGAAACTTGAAATCCGTCCCCCAGCTCTGCCCGAGCCAGAGAGAGAAATCCATAAATAGGGGAGCTGGGTTGTAAATTGTTCATAAAAAAATCCGCTACTTTCGCTACTGATATTTGCCAGCAGAGCAATCCTCGATTCTCCTAGCATATTCGCGAAGTTTCTCGACTAGTCTGACCTTGCAGAGCGCGTCTATTTGTCTACTCCACGCAAAATTATAAAGGAGGACGCTACCCTTTCCACCAATCGACTACCCTAGTAGTACCACTACTATACTACCTGCATTCTTGGGCATATGCTCTGATATGAGTCTCTCACTATCTCCTCCCAACTCCCTTGGAACGTCGACCCGCCCTCCGCCACTACTCTCTCCTAAACGAAAGCTCGCCGAGCTTTTAGGCAGAACGAACCATTCGTCACCCCTCCTTTCCACGTCTCCACCACTCCTTTCCAAGTCTCCCTTTCCTTCCACGTCACCGCTCCTTTCCACATCACCGTTCCCCTCCACGCCTCCATCCGCAGCATCCAGCCCGTCGCTGCTCGCGCGCGAGACGTCCTTCGATTCGGAGTCACCGCTAATGAAACGACCATGTGCGCGTAATATCAGCGGGTCGCATCGCACATCGCCTAGTACTGCCTTCCGAGACAGTCGCGCACTCGCTATTGGCAGCGGTTGCGACACGCCCCCTGTTCTCGTGCTCGAAAGAGACGGTGAGGAAGACGACGGCATTCCCTCGCCGCACCCGAAGCTAGCATTTCCCAGGGGTGGAGCGCAATGCAACCGCAATCGTCGTTACAAGGGCGTGCGACAGCGAAAATGGGGCAAGTGGGTAACTGAGATTCGCGACCCTCGCACGAAGATTCGCGTGTGGCTGGGATCGTACGAAACCGCGGAGGAAGCAGCGCGAGTGTATGATATGGCGGCGCGGATAATAGGGGGAGGCCGCGGAGGCGCCGCCTGCGGAAAGCTCAACTTCCCCGACGAGGCGCATCCCGTCGCCGTTCCGCGCGCCATTGCGGAAGCGCTGATCCGCACCGTGCGCGAAAGCAGAGCCCTGTGCGCTGCAGATGTCGCAGGGGGCGAGCGCCTCGTCGTCGCAGGCGACGCCGCGGACGACGGGAGCGACGCGCGCGAGGGCGCGTGCGACCTGCCTGCGAGTTTCTCGAGCGACGTGGTTCGTCTCGAGGCCGTGGGCGGCAGCGTGGTTGTGGCGGAGTGTCCCCCTGCGGCGTCAGTGGCGCCGCTTGGAGTGATCTCCGGTGACAGGGGGCAGCAGATGGTGTTGCTTGGTCCCACTGGCGTTGACGGCGGGATGGAGCAGCCGCAACAGACGCAGCAGACGCAGCAGCAGCGGCCCCTGCAGCAGCAGATACAGCAGCACACACAGCAGCAGATGCAGCAGAGTCAGCAATCACAGCAGCAGCAAGGAGGGGGAGTTGGGGACCCTGCAAGGGCACCAACCACAGGCTTCACACTCCACACGCCCTCAGCACTCACTCCCAAGCAGGAGATGCCTGCTATCAGCCTCCAGCCATG